AGCTTGGACGTACGGATAGAAAGGGCAATATTCCGAGGCCAACAGTTTTCTGCCCCAGGGAGATTTCTTCATTGGCGTACTCCGTATGCCAACTGCCAACTTACTTTTCTTCGTGAAATTCTGAAAGAATGCTGATCGCGGAGAAATGTTCCAATGCCTTCGGACTCGGCTACCACCAGATAGAGCCGTCCAGCCCAGCCACCATGCAATATACTCATGACATCGCCCCAAAGACCGTCTTCTCTTTTCCGATCGATGAAACCCTCGACCCAACTCTTATCCGAAATTCCTCGCAATGAAACTTGGAACGCCAAAAGCCAGCTCTTCTCGTTGGTTTTCAAATGGGCCGATCCTCTCGTTTTAGGCAAAGCGGCTGTGATGCCCTTCTTGGCGTCTGTCTGGCTGTGTGTGGCCTTTACTCCGTACTGTGGTTATATCCGTAAATTATAATCGTATTATCCTCATGTTAATCTTAATCCCGATATTAATACGGATATTTAATTCGTTTTCCGCAGGAACCCATCTCGCATCCGATCATCCGTGATTCTTGCTTCTTTGGGGCCTTTTGCCCTTGGAACTACGGACTAGCTTTCACCAGGACCGTGTCTATCATCATCAGCCCAGCCATCTTTTTTTCACTTCAGTCTTTCAGGAGTGGGAATCCCAGATGGTTTTCCTGCCATCTAGTATTCTTGTTCATTATTTAGGTATAGCTAACCGGGCCTATCCATGTCTCTTAGATTAATTCCTATTGATGACATCAGACATCTGTCCGGAGGTTTGGGATATAGTGGTTGGATTGAATCATCTCCTTCTGTGTGGTGTGTATGCTTTGCTACGGCGGGCTTTCCACGGAGAGTACACCGAATCAGTAGTTGATTCTATTTTACTTTGTACGGAGTAACTACGGACGGATACTCTGGTTTGTTCGCGTACGCCGTACACAATTCTCAGATGGAATATATCTAGTTAGTTAACTACAGTCCAGCTATGACGTAACCCCATCCATCCTCACTTCCGCACGCTGTATGTACCCCGTAGATAACATATCCTATTCTCTACAGACACAAACCCAATAATCGACTACACCCAGTAATTTAATTAACCCACTTACCCCAACCCTCTACATACTAACTTGTATGTACGGATTAGTTGCAAGACAGCCTGACTGATGGCTACACCGTAGATAACCTAGGTCAGCATGGTCTGTCTATCTATAACCGATACCCGAGAACCCAAATCCTGCAGAACCTATCAGAGTTTTTCCAGAACACTTCCGTCCATGGTTCTGCGTTTCTCAAAATTTAACCTTGACGTGTCCTCGATACGAGCTCGAGCGGTAGATTCGCTCCGTTCGAGGTGCCGAGGGAGGTGGGGAGGGGGAGTTTTTGTGCTGGGGTTATGGGGTAGATGGAGATATAGTGGATGAGTGGTGTTATTGGGGTTTGATGGTGTTTTGAGTGTTTGGGGAAGGTAGTTGGATGGATTAATGATTTTCTATTACTACCTGGCAGTTAACAGTAACTAGTGGTGGTGGTTAAATTACGTCAGTATGTATGTATGGAATGGCTTCCATTGATTTGGTTTCTATAGTTAGAATTAAATATCAGATCTGATCGGTAAATTTACTTCTCGGTGGTAGTACGCAACACAACATCCAATCCCCACGCGGCCCAAAATCTAGACTGCCCGCCCGTTTACATATGTACTTTCTTATCTTGTTTGACAGTTGACACGTCCGGATGCAGCGCTGCGCTATCATATCACGCCTTGGGTGTGGGTTTGCCCACGCATCGGGTGATTGGCGCGCTGGTGCGGATGTCAACTGTCGGTCTGATGGCGAGTCGTGGAGGATGATTAATGGTTGTTTCGAGAGAACGTGCTACATGGGCAGGGATTATTCTTTTGTATAGTATATGCATATGTAGGTAGTATGTATATCCATACGGATACTCTTGTGTGACATACACTTGGGACAAATGTCTCAAAAATTGATTTGGTTGAGTTGCGCGATTTATAATAATATGGTGGCAGTGGTGTGGTATGATCTCATGAGATGTGATACATTATTCATGTCAAACTTTCCTGTCTAAATGGCGGGTTCTACGTGAGTGGTTTATATATTTGCCTGGTTTCGCTCATAAATCTTGGCTACATGCATAACTTCAAGACCGTTTGTGCACGGCGGTGGGGGAGGCCTAGGAGTAGTTAGTACGGCTTTTCGCAAACGGCTGACTATGGAACGTGGATATGCCAGTGCAGACAGAGATCTACTGACCTGATGACTGGGGAAGATCAAAGTATCGGCGATCACGACGTTCTCGCGACGGCCAGCAGTAAAGACAACGACTTCGGCGATGTCCTCGGGGGTGAGGGGCTCGCAGTTTCTGCGAAAGGTTGTCAGTTTTTGCTTTCAATGCTGTAAAGACCCGACAAGGAAAAAGACTCGGGAAGGGGTAAGGGGGTTCTCACGCATAGACTGCATCAGCCTTGCTCTTATCACCGTAGAACCGGACAACCGAGAACTCCTAGACAATCGACCACATTAGCCTCTAGTCTCAGATGAAGAGGTACGGGAAATTCAATGTCTTACCGTCTCCACCTGTCCCGGGTCGATCTCAATGATGCGGATCCTCGACGCGATCAGCTCCTTTCGCAGCGCGTCCGTGAAAGCCCGGATCGCCGCCTTGGTGGCGCAGTAGATGCTACCTCCGGGGTAGGCCTCGCGGCCTGCAATGCTGCCGATGTTGATGATGTCACCACGGCCTCCGTCGCTGCGCTTCTGGAAAATCGGCAGGATCGCCTGGGTCATGTTGATCAGGCCGTTGACGTTGGTGGTGAACATGGTGTCGATATCCTCGGTGGCGATCTCGGGGGCCTTGGCGACGCCTTTGACGAGTCCACTATGTCGTTCTGGTCAGTTGCGAAATGGGCCCGGTACTGAAGCTTGGATAGAACGTACGCGTTGTTAACCAAGACGTCGATTTCCTTGAACTCGGCCGGCAGCGACGGCACAAAGTTCTTGATCTCCTCGGGGTTGCTGACGTCCAGCTTCACGGGCAGAACCTTGACGCCCTCACCGACCTCCTGCTTGATATCCTGCGCCAGCTGGTTCAGGGACTCGAGACGTCGCGCCGTCACGATCAGCTTGAGGTTCTTGGGTGAGGTGCGCGCGAACTCCAGCGCGGTGCTGCGACCGATTCCCGACGATGCGCCGGTGACGAGGATCGTCTTGCCTTCGAGGCGCTTTCCCATTGCGGTGGCCATTGTGCGTCTGAGAAAAGCCGGCTGGCGGAACGGGTTGTTGGGGTTCGTTCGAGGAAATGCGGAGTGTAGGATTCCGGAGGGAGATGGGGAGACGAAGCGCGGGAGAAGTCTAATTGAATTAATACCCGCTTTAAGGTATTTCATAAAGTAGATTGAATTGAGAGACCGGAGCTAAACAAAAAGATTCAAAATTCCCGCGGGATCGAGGGGTCGTGGATACAGTCTTTTATATCATAGGCAGACGATGACGTGCGGGGAAGCTCTTGCCGTGATTCGGCTTCGGCGCAGCGGGGCTCCCTGTCTGGTCGGCTGAAGGTTTGCCCGATCGGTCTCTTTTCCAAATGGTTCTTAGGACCGAAGTATAGAACTGCGGTGGCATCGCAGTGCATCCTGGGGGTTGTCATTACGTACTGATTTGGGATAGTCATTGCAGATAATGTAACATTGTTGAGGGGCTTGTGAAATAAGACTGTATATACGGCGAGAACTGGGGGCCGAAATATATAGTTGCACAGGCACACTTCTTAGTGCATTGTCACCATCTAGGAACAGAGGTTTCTATAACTGCTTGCCAGTAGTATAAAAACAGCGATTACCAACTGAAACTCTTGGAATACATTCTTCATGAAGCTCATTTACCCAGGAAGACTGCATTGAGTTAGAAGCATTCACACCCCTAGGAGCTTGATGGTTGTTATCCACCAACACATTAGCTAGACAATCATTATATGCATGGATATGTACAACAAACCATGAAGGCTAGACTGTAGAAAAATTAAAAAAAGGTCCATCCTGAAACCCCTCTGCCGAAGTGAATGAACTGGTTGGCAAGATAGTAAGAAAGAGTGAACAACTGGGAGGGCTCAAAGTTTCTAATAACCAAATGTATTGAGACTTCTCTTTGTGGTAGGTAACCTTAAGTGCCTTAAACGTCGCAAGACAAAAGATTTCTGCTTTGTCAACAAGGTGGCTACTGGCAACTAAATTTTAGTACTGTACAACAAAGCCACAAACAAAGGCACTGTTCAGGCCATTATTCTCATACAGCAAATATAGATCATTCTACAAATAAAAGATGAAACAAGAGTATTATTAATCATCCTACAGTTAGCTAACTAAGAGGTTTATGAACTTGGAATATTACATCACCCTACGACACCATCACTGTAAAGATAGAACCTTGACCATCAGTCTGGCCATCTAGTAAGCCATCTGGTAGCTTCCCACCGGCAGCCTTCGTTCTCTATACCGATCATGCTAAACCAGAAGAAAAATTCCTACCTAGACCCAAGAAAGCCAGTAGCTGATACTGCATACGTAGCCCCTACCCTATCTGGACATAGATCACCCGCCTCGTCCAGCTGGCGACCTGAGGCGGAATGTTCCTGCAACTGCACCCAGTAGACCTCGAAAGGCCCAATCCGAAGGCACAGAAGGCACCACCACCACTGGAAACTTCCCCCATCTCAGATCCCTTGACCGAAAAGTTCCTGGATGTAGTCGCGACCTCAGATTTTCCCTCTGGGGCGCATTCATATAAAAACTGTCTTCTACCCCTACAGCTCCTACGGTTCTCTTTCTCTCTCTTTCTTCCCATCCATAAGGATAGCTTCAAAGTGCTTCTACCAGCTTGAAAGCAGTCACGATTTCTTTTATCGTGCATGAAGCATTCTAACTACTCTTTTTCTTCTATTAATATCAATACATCTACTAACACTTTGAAGCTTATCCTTATGTTGTTTCTTACACCATCGAACATGCTCTCGATCTACGACTGGATCAATTACTTTCTTCTGCCGCAGCTCCTCTACACACTTTCCAAGGTAGAACAAATCTCCTACTTCTATCGATCATCAACCTGATTAACCTAACTTCTTTCTTCAGAACATCTATCCCCCCTACCACTCCAGGACGGCCAATATCGTCTTCCAACTGATCGGTTGGGTTTTTATCACGACTATCTATCCACATATTACCGGCAAATTGATTGAGGTATTTTGGATATTTCTTCAATTTTTCTATACTATCAATTTGATTAATCTGACTTTCTTTTTCCAGACCTCCCGGAACCTCAAGAATCCCTCTGAGTTGGACGAAGAAGTAACTATGGCTGCTGACCATTCGAACCACGTTGAATCCCAGTGGGACGTGGTGATCAACGTCGATGTCGTTGAGGATGAGGGATTTGTCATTGTCCCGTCGAACGTGGTGGCTGTCAATGACACGGAAGATGAGGACTTCGTTATTGTCCCGTCGGAAGTGGTGGCTGTCAATGAGGTTGACATGGTGAAGGAACCCATTGCCATCCCCCCTACCTCTGAACTCTTGGACGCTACCCTCGAGCTGGTAGAAGCCAAGGGGGTCGAGTCTGCTTTTACATGTTTTTCTATTAAAGATGGGTACGCTCATCAGCAGACACAGACCGACTTCAAGGTGGTGAATACTTCGGCCTCTTCCTCTTCTGCTGAGGTAGTGAACGAGGCCAAGGAGAGCGACAGCGAATGGAACCTTTTGAATGCTTCTTCCTCAATTGCTTCTGTGGCAAATGGAGTCACCGAAAACGACAGCGGTGTCAAATGGGTCTACGGCGACGATGGTAAGGTGAAGGGGGTGGAGTATATCAACATCCCCTCTACCTTATACGGTGAGCGCATGGATGCCCTGAAAGCCTATACCGTCTCCCCCTTTATCCCAAACGGGGCACAACTCCGCGTGCTGATTAACTTCACAATCAAGCTGATGGACGACGTGAACCGTGCGAAGGGTATTAACGGGGAACTTTGTGACTTTATCAACGAGCTCCTCTACAAGGACCACGTTAAGAAAGAGCCACAGACGGACCTAGACGAGGCTTCAGAGTCAGTACCCCCGGTTGTTCCCCCTTCTAACTTTCATCTCTCGGAAGCTACTGAGAAGGTCTTCAATCTGATAGGAGGGTGCCCGATTGAGCCCGACTATGAAGTCGTTGAGCCCGGATCCGTTCCTCAACAGACCAATTTGGAGGAGGTTGCGGAGACTGGAGATACTGACTCTACCACAGTCGATGCCGACGCCGAGTGGGAGATCCCGAGTGTCAAGAAGATGGACGACCAGGAAGACGGTGCGGATGAAGTAGATAACACGCTTACTGTTACTGCTGCTAATGAGGACGATAGATTTGAATTTGTCCCTGCAATGAACGCAGTCGCAATAGATCTATTTAGTCCTGCCGCATTTGACTGGGCGCTCGATAAAGAGGAGGAACAGGAGAACGAGGAGCGCCTAAAAGAACTCCTCCGTCCGTCTGCCTTTGACTGGGCAGACGAAGCTGACGGCGACGACGAAGAGTCCGTCGTCGCGCGGGATGAGAACGGTTTCCCCCGAGGTATGCTCTATAACTCTTTCCCCGAAGGCGAGAATTGGGCCATGGACCAGGGGCTGATGTCAACAGACATGAACGGTTTCCCGGAAATGCAAGCTACTCCCCCTTCTGGCTTGGCGTCGACCGACGGCGGTGAAGATGAAACGGCGAGAAACTTCCCGGAGCAGGATGGCCCCATAGTTCATCATTATAACTGGTTAGGGGCCCCTGTTTTTGAGCAAAGCGACACGCCCCCGGAAGTTTCTCTCCTTGTCCGGTCTGTGCCCCGCAAAAGACTGGGGCGCAGTGACAAGTACCGTTTCCGGTCCATAATGCACAGAGCTGAGCTCTTCATTGACCCTGTCATTGTCATGCTCGAGGAGGGGGTCAAGCGCCAGACCCAATTTGAGAGAGTCACGGAGCTTGTACGCTATGCTACCGGGCGGACATTCAAGTTCTACTCCCCGTATGGTGCGTGGGTTGCAGACCCTCAAGAGAATGGCTCGATTGTTGTGGATGAACAAACGGAAGATGTTGAAATGAATGAGAGAAACATACTCAACAATGGACGCCTGGGCTGCAAGCTAAAATGCAGCCCATCATACGGCTTGGAAAGGGAGTTGCGTTCTCGGCGAGAGCACTTTCGGGTCAGGACCCGAAGTCAGAAGCCCTCGCCATTGAGGCAGATCATGACGGTGGATGATCTGTCTCCAGAAAACGGTGAGACAGTGACCAGGAACCCGCTCGCGATCCTCACCGATGAGGAGTCCCAGCAGGGGGACTCTAGCACTGATCAGTCCGTCTTCAGTTCAGCTACGGACTCTTCTCAGTCGGATTCCGATTCCGACTGGGAGGACATAGAGATGTCCGATGAGCTGAGGAACATCGATCTGGGGGGCAAACCCAGAGGTAAAGTTTCCGAGCCTCAGGCATCCGACTTGAATTCGGATTTCGAATTGAAAGAAACCTGGACTGACGTTTCGAGAAAGGACTGTTTGTTGAGCGATCCAGACCCCGTTGAGTCGCAGGTCGCGACGCTCATCGAGTCACCGAAGTCTGACTCTTTGAGCATGGGCTGGATCAAAGACTTCATACCATGGTGCCCAGAACCGTACCGTAAAGTGGACGGTCTGGGTCATAATAAATTGGGACTCTGTCCCAATGTGCAGGTCACTGTCTACCCCGTACTACTTGACTCGGGGCCTGTTCCTGCTCTTGCCCTTGAAAAAGAGTGGGTTAAGGTTGACGGAGACTTGCCAACGTCGCTGTACTCCCGCGAGATCGACGAGATACGGCTTCCTTGGGAGCCTGAGCTGTCAGACAGCTCAGACGTCGACAGCCTGTCGTCGGGCACCTTCTCACACAACGTCGACACCTATCACTCGATCGTGTCGGACGAATTCAACGCCTCTTTCGACGGCGATGAGAGGATGGTCTCCAGCGGGAGCCTTTCTCTAATTACCGATTCTGTCACTAGTACCCTGCAGCTATCTTCTTCCCAAGAAGATGCAGCTGCTGTGCCGCTCCCTCCGTCGCCTACCCTGGGACGTAAAATTCCCAAATGGCGAACACGCAGATCCCGAGCCAATCTCAGACGGCCCGTGGCTCTTCGGCACAGGGTAACCCCCCTCCGCACGACGCTGCCAATTAGGCGATCCCTCTCCACGATGGCCAACAAAGACAAGAGATGCCACTGTGGGAGGAGGATTTCGTTGCTAGACGAGCCTGCAGAACCTGAGCCTGCTCCCTCAAATTCAGGCTCCGAATGCACGTTCCCGGCAGACTACGACTCCTTCAACCGGCTGGGGGTAAAGCCACCGAGGAGACGGTTCAGTCCTTTGGCTCTTCTTGAGAAATGCATCTCCAAAGCCCGAAATGGAGCTCGTGCACTTTTTAAGATGACCGAGAAGGAGCGCGAGCCGGAGGAGGAAAATGGCAGGAAGGTGAGGAGAAAGTTGACAAAGCGGAGGAAGGAGCGACGTGATGAGTAGAGGTGAAGATAGCAGTGGAGGACAAGGGGACTGACTCCCCAACGAAATCAATTTCTTCTTTTTTTTTTTTAATATTTCTTTTTGTTTCTTTGCCATGTCATGATATTTTGTTGTTTTCCTTTGTCGTTATTTCTTATTGCATTGTATGATGTCTTGGTGAAAACATGCATGTATCTGCTTTTCGAGTCCCTGGTCTTCATACCTCAGGTGTGCACCCCCACAGGTTTCAGAATAAGAGCCCACCCACCACAAAGACAAACAAACAATATTCTGAAACTCACGAACGTGCACCACTACCCCCCTGCCCGCATCCTTTGTCCCCATCAGCATCACGATAAAAACATGAGGACCCGAGGGAAGAGGGAGTGATTAAACAACGGATATAAGGGGGAAGATAGCAGTGAGAGGATAGAGGAGAGCATGATGTGCTGAGTTTGGTTTGGGGGGTATCTTGGTACATGCTGAGGATTCGGAGGCTCGGCAGCTTGCTGTTGCCGGGTAAGTGGAAGGGCGGCGGCGCTCTATAACTTCGTGTTATAAGGATGTCCTGTCGCTTTAGTCTCAATCGCTCCAGATTGGGAAGGGAGAGGTGATACAAGCGAATGCCGCCTTTTGGCTGGATATATGCATCTCGGCGGGATATCCAAGTGCCCGATAAAGTACATGTGCTCTACTTACCCAGCACGGTACAAATATTTTGGAACCCGCCATTCTAGCTCTTCAGAAGTCCTTCTTCCGAAACCAGCGCTGGCGACTAATACAACCTTGACTATGTCCTTCCCAGCCAATCTCCGTACCAGTTCCGAGAAAGGAACAGTTGGAGGGATTGATGTTTGGACCGAAAGGGCATTGGAGAGGCTGATTGGTGATGCATATATCCAGCCAAAAGGCGGCATTCGCTTGTGAGTACCAATACATCCACCACACTGAAGCACACCCTTATGTTGTTCCCTTCTTCATCCAACATGCTCTTGATCTACGCCTGTTTTAACTACTTCCTCCTCCCGCAGCTCCTCAAGGGAATGCTAGTATGGTGCCGATGAGTGTGGTGTGGGGTAGTTGGTGGATGTATTGTGGGGGGATACAAAGCGAGGTGTGAACGTTCTCTCATCTGGGGTATCAAGTGATTGATAGCTCGAAGAGGCATGAGTGCCATGATTTGTCATGAATTCAACTCTGTCCATCTGGCATATCAAATGATTGATGGCTCTAAGCGGCATGGGTGTCGTACTTTTGATGAGAGTCGGGAATTTGATGAGAGTCGGGGTGATAGTGGATAGGTGCAGAACCAAAAAAAAAGGTTAAAAGGGAAAAACAAAAAAAAAAAAGAAAGAAAACTAATTCAATCTGTTACAAAAAAATCTCCCCTAACGTATAAATTGTTTCTATGGTAGCTTGGCCTAGGTGTAGAACATTGTATTCTGACAAGCAGGGCTGATACATAATATCTAGATATGTGACTCGAGTGTGTCTCGTTCTTCTCGTTCATCGATAATTGCATCATTATTGCAGAGTAGACAGGCACTATAAGCATTGAATCGGAAGAATTATCCCGGAAAAAACAATCGATGACATTTTTATAGTTGACGATGCAGCCGTCACGAGGACAGCGGGTAGGTGATCGTCAGGGGCAAAACCCAGCCAAGTCCAGTTCTCTTTCTGCATTCTTCTCCTCCCCACTAACCGATCGTCGCTACTAGTCTTGACAGCAGTCAACGCTACGTTATTATTATGGGTTAGGTCTATGACACCTCAAAGGATCGTCCGTCGCACTACTCTTTCCCATATTGCCGAATGAGCTGACATTGTGTGATCTGCTATCCCAGAAGCCCGGGAACTGCATAGTGTTGTCCCCACGCAAGGAGGGCGCCGTCGAGGGGACAAAATTAGCAATGACGTATACAATAGACTTGTCCTCGTTATTGCTTTTTTCTGGAAGCATCGGGAGCATGCACAATCACGGGGCTAGCTGCAGGGGTCGATATCGAATCGAACTAGCTACAACCTACGGGGTACTCACTGCAAGATCAGGAAATTTTTGCGTCAATAAGCGTAGGATGCATAGATATATTGCCCTACGGCTTCAATAAGGGGCGTTCGTGCCACACGGCTGGGACAAGAGCCCTGCATTCTTATTGATCGCCTTGCGAAACAATAGCGTGTCTGCATTGCTACGCTATTTCTGCATGTCGTTTTCGGGCATCGACTCTCGTCCCCCTTTGTGTCCCCCTCATCTCCTTATACTTGCATGCGCCATGCATGTATTTCTCCTATCGGTATGGATCAGATCGTCTCACGGGCTCGTGGAAGAAGTCCACGAGGCTCTATCTTCAATCTCGTCTGATCGGGATTTGCGAGCGGGTTTAAGGCGACTGGGTACTAGAGCTAATTTGCTTTGCATTGATTGAACAATGCGGAATATTTCAACCATGTGCTACGTGGTTTGCGTGCGCTGATTTATTTACAGATCCGCGATAACGGTGGCTTCGGTCTACGTCTGCTCCCTCCCTCGGTCGGGAGAGTTTTCCGCCAGCAGCGTACGTCTTTATCGATTACCATGACACCGTCTAGAGACCATGAAAAACATATAAGGTTCATACCTGCAATTAACTTGAAAATTTGAAGCCAATTTTGCTTCTCAATCATGATCGGCACCGTGAAACTCATCCACATGGTAGATCATCACGACTTCAGATAACAAAAGCAAAATGCAACTACCGTGTGGCGCCGTTAGATTGTGCAAAAGATGTCAAGTGCCAAGAAACCAGTCGGCACCGTCAAACTGTCTATCGATCCTCGGATCTTTTTCAAGGTTCTGTCTTGTCGATCACTATTTGAGCCTACTCCGGACAATGCTGGAAGATTTTCACCTCAATGCATCAGATTATCTTTGTCGGGGAATGGGTACAGAGTAGGAAAGATATTCTTATTTAAAAGACTCCAGATGATTTCTCTCGAGTCTCCGTCAATTTAGGTCCACCAAAAGTTAAATGTTGAGCGTGCTTGACCTCATCATTAACTTCGTGAGAACTTTCGGCAAACTCGGGGCACATACCTACAGCCGCCCTTTTCGACCTCTAAATAATCCGAGTAAAACTAGTGACGACGTTTCAGTAACCATTTGAGACTTGTCTGAGGCAATTCAGCTATGAATAATGGCATTTAGTCCGTCAATAATCCCATTGCGGAGTAGGAAATTCTCGTGGGTTGCAGACCCACCGCCACTCCCGATACTGACATCTTCATGTTCACCGACAAGATAATGTATGGCAGACAAGGAGTGATCATCCCAAGGGGAGAAGGGACCGTGCGATCAGACCTGCACTATGTGCTAGTTGCATAACTAACCTGTTCTTCCGGTACGAACTCTCGCTTGCTAGAACGCTCTTGGAAGTCCGAGGAGGCTTAATCACGAATATCCACCAGCAGGCTCGTGGCACGATGGTTTCATCAAGTTGAAACTATGAGCGGATCTGATGTTCGTCATCAGAAAAGAGAGTTTTCCATGATTCGTGCTTAGGACTATCGGGTATTCGGACACGACTCGAGAATTCATTAAACATCTTGCTATTGTGCGAACCTCATTCGCAGCCCTCTTATTGATTAAATTTACTTGCCTCAGGGGTGAAATCGCCCACTCAGCCGTTCTTAAAAGGGAAGAAAAGAATAATGCTCTGCACTGTTCATGCGAAGTGATTCAAACACGACGGTGAAAGTTGCAACCGGCTTTACGGTGGAGCAAAGACAGCCGAATCATAAGCTTCAGCACTGCCGACGGATCCGCAATGTGCCGCCAGACATTCGAGCGTCATTCTTGACAGGGGAATTCTAGCAGAAGACAGGACCAGCGTTCCATGGAACCACTACTGTCCACCGCCGAAACGAGGCATCATTGACACGACGTTGATGCCAATCACTCGCACCCACCTCGCCCACGACGCATGTGGGGACCAAGTAGCCTCAGGTCATACTTTCCCCTATTGCAAATATTTAGCAGCCACTCAGCAAGCGAGACTGAAAATGAACGGTCAATGCGCGGTGAGCTTCTTCTGCTTTTCTACAAGAATTCATGCACTATTGATAGACTAGCAATTCTTGGATTTGGGGTAGCGGGCAGCGGGAAATATAATAAGACCCATCCTTCGAGAGACCGACAATCCACCAACTACTTGACTAACCCCAGGTCCAGTCGCAAGCTTCGATGCTATCTTGTACCAAAAGTAGCTGCTAACCCTGGCTTGGGTTTGAGTAGTCAGAAGACTGTACTTCTACGCGGATAGCCGGTCCACTCCACTATCTATATCGAAGGACAATCTTGAAAGGGACTGCGAGTTGTTGCGGTCAAGCCATTGCTCAGAATGAACGACGATTTTCGCCATATGATTTTCCCCAGGGATGCAGACGATGGAGCCAGCCGAGGGCAACGAGCTTTGGTGGTCACGGCAGTCTTGACAGCAATCGCCGCCGTCACTGTCGCAATGCGATTCTTAGCTCGCATTGGACTGATGAAGATTACTGGTCGTGAAGACTGGACAATTCTTCTTTCTCTGGTTAGAGCGCCTTCTGTTATCTACCCATTGATTGAGCTATTGCTAATTTATCAACAGGTTTTCTCCATTATCTACCTCGGTCTAGTGGCATCCGGTCAGTCCCTAAACTTCTATAACTCTATACCTATACCTGACTAGCCATAGAAACGCATTACGGCCTCGGAAGACACTCAAGCGAGCTCTCTGCCCATGAGAATCAGCAACAGTTAAAAGTAAGCTTTCCCCCAGAACTTTACCTTACTACTTCTCCGCTAACATCTCCTCAGCGTCTATGGGCCGCCATCCCCATGTACAACTCCAGTCTCGCCTGCACGAAATTCTCCATTCTCTTCCAGTATCTGCGCATCTTCCCGGGCCACGGTTTCCGCATCGCTTGCTACATCACGATGGCCATCGTGGCAATCTACTCTACCTGGGCCGTCGTCAGCGGCTACGTCAACTGCGTCCCCGTCGCCAAGTTCTGGAACCATGAGATCCCAGGCTCCTGTCTCAGTTTCGAGGCAATATGGTTCTTCAACGCATCCATGAACATCGCAACTGACCTGGCCTTGCTCATCATGCCGATGCCCCTCCTCTCTCATCTGCAACTTCCGCGCATACAGAAACTCGCGCTCATGACTGTCTTTGCTATCGGTGGACTGTACGTACATACACCCTCTTCACATAATGCCCCAGCCACCACACCCGCCCCAATCCCACCATACTAACAAAATACCAAACAGAGTCGTCATAACCAGCATCCTCCGCCTCTCCAGCCTCCGCAAAGTAGCCAAAAGCCCAGACACATCCTACAGCAACGTCGCCGCCGCCTACTGGACCGCTGCCGAATGCAACGTCGCCATCATCTGCGCCTGTCTCCCCTTCCTACGCCCCCTGGTCAGCCGCATCTTCCCGAAGCTGCTCTCCACGCAGAGTTATAATACTCCGTATTCGCGCGGACGGACCCTCACGACCATGAATAATAGGTCCAGGGCCCCGGGGCCGAAGATGGCGCTTTATTCGCAGGATCGGGATCTGGGGTTGTGTACGATTGATGTCGATGTGCAGGGTCCGGCGCAGGCGCACGTGGATGGGCATGGGGATGGATATAGTGGTAGTAGTGCAGGGGGGATTGAAGTGAGGACTGAAATGACACAACAGAGTACGGTTCATGAGGAGGAAACGAGTCAGAGGAGGTTGGTTATGGATGTATGATTCTTTTTGGGTTTGGGTTGGCTTTTTTCTGGTTTTTATTCTTATCTAATCCTTCATTTTTTCCCACTTATGTATATATTGAATGATTTGATCTCCCTCGAGAACATTATATATGATGACCACCGCAATATGGATAGTTTATTCCTAGTTATTTGCCACAAACGTAGTGCTGTTGGCCATACTTCATATACTAACCTACGACTACTTCAGCCTTCCGTCTTTTTCTCTCCATAGCAGAATTCTCAGGGTACAAGAAGCAAAACCAGTTGAGTAATGCGGAAACTACATGACTAAAGAGTATTTAGGTAAGATAGGAGGAGTGCGGTTTCCTAGTCTTCTCACCTTTGACCAACGACGCAAGAATGCTTCTAGGTGTTTCCTGAAGGTGCTTTCCGAGCCGAGCCACGTCAGGCAGGGATTTGGCCCAAGCTCTGATGTCTGCGTAGGGCAAGCTTTTCAGAAATATGATCTTTCTGCAGTCATTCCTTTCAAGTGCCTCTCACATGCTTCAACGGCTAGGGTTTCTCCACCTTTCTCGCCATTTCCAAAGCCATTCCAAGGCTGTCAATCAATCAAGAATCTATTAATCTTATGAAGCCTATCTATTGAAACGATAGGCTATACAGGCGCTTCGCCGATCAAAGCATAACCTTGCGTCCGTACGCCGTATAAAGCCTCAAATGCTTAGACAGATCATAAAGCAGTATAAAAACACACGCAACTAAATCGGCAGCGTGCTACACGCCTGCCGTGTCCCTCTGTAGGCGCTGTACGCTCCTTCCGCTTCGTTCTACTTTTGGTGTTTCGGCAGATATCTACCCTTCGTCACAGTGGCTGGTCGAGGCTTGACCGGTCCCTATCGTTCTGTTTAACCATCGTCTTCCTTGTCTAGATCGAGTCCCTCAAGAAGCTACTTGGTTCTGGGGCCTCCTACTCATTTTCGTCGCTAAAGCTAGCGATTGTTGGAGCATGTCTGTCCGTTGCATGTATTTGGCAATGCAGCGAATCGCCTTCGGGTTTTACAAGGCCATGGTGTCCTTTTGACCCGTGCATTCAAATGCTGATTACTAGACGGGAACGTATGTGGTCATCGAGCGGGTTTGGATTTCCGCTGGTACGAGAAGCTTATATCGCTAAGCGAAGAGTAAGTGAGTCACCTCGCACGCACCGTACTTACGGGAAGTCGGTTCTCTCGTCGCTCGGCTGCTATCCTTTACCAGCCAAGCTCAAGAACAGAAAGACAAGAGGATTCGTACGCATACTGCGTCTTTCCTATAGGATTTCACCTTCATCATGGACCAAAGCTCTGCTGCAGATTCTCAAACTTCCTTTCAAGCCCCCCTTCAATATGTAGGGTCTTTCCTTGGAGAAGTTGCCCCTAGTAATGGCCCCGACGGGGCGTGATGGTCGACTGTCACAAGTGCAGTTTGCGATGAAATAGAGAAAGCCGTAAGCCCAACGACATGACTGACCATTAACAGACACAAGCTGAGCATCCACCCATCCATTTCTAGGATCCACGGATCACCGCGGTTGAGATCAAGTATTACTTTGTTTTCTTTCACTTATTTTTGACCTAGACATCACCTCAGGCTAACCTTACCCTACAGAGGTTCTAAAGCGCATCTTTCCTCCAACGACAGAAATGATACAAAACACGTTATAACGGTTGGATTCGAGACTCAACAAGGACTACACGTAGGCTCGGTTCATATCCATCTCGATGGCACTTTCAAATTCTTCCCGTCTCTTGCCGTTATGGGGCTCCGTTGTAAAAGAAGCACAAGACACAACAGACGCATACGTGCGGTAGTCGAAGGCTTCGTCTCCACTGAAGGCGAGACTGAACGTACAAAGGAAGGCCACGACGCTTCTAAATAGGCCCTTGGAGACTTTGGTCCCGCTCATGTGGAATGGCCACCTTGCTCATATCGGCTGTTGCGCAACCTAAACCCTCCTCGGTTACCTATCCAATTGTGCGTGCTTCAACCGGGTCTGCGAGAATATTCTGATCATAGAATTCTTACGGGAAATTTAGATCAGCGATGGCTGCCCCCTTGTGCCTAGATACACTCATTCCGCCCTCGCAAAACTGTCTGCTACCCTATTGGAAATTCGATTGAAGGATACGCCTTTGAGATGGCTAATAATGCCGCCCTATCAAGAGCACTTCTATCTTAAGGCTTTTCTCCTAGGAAGGCACCTGGAGTGCACCGAGATATCTTGGCTTAGTTATTCCAGTAAGAGGCTGCCATAGGGTCCTGGGTGCCGGTATCACCCTCTCCATAGCGATGGTCAAGCCAGAAAAGGCGTTTCCGCATTCCGACAACCTCTGGATATTCGAGGACTGATGGCGCATCTTGCAGTCTAGGGTATGATGTTTCGCGAACCAGGCGAGATATCGATGGAAACATCCGTCGCTGAGTTTCCAGAGTGCAGTAAGGGATTTGGACTCCAACCTCCTCGTTGGGATCTACAAGTCTTTCAAAAAGTGATCGATCAAGTGCATATTGCTTCCCATCGCTACTCTCTCTCGAAAGTCCATAATTCTGGATCTGTGGCCGGAGTTGCAGGTGGTCGCCAATGAGGATGACATGTTCAATCGAGGTCAGCAAGTGAGCCTCTAGGATCTCTCCAGCCTCTTCACACATGAGAACCTTCGAATGTAGACGGCGTAGCATATTCAGGTTGCGAGCTAATCCGGTTGTAGTTACCCCGATGACATCCGCGTCGCGGAGACATCGCAGATCCAGCTCATCACGTACCGTATCCCATGAAGCCTTAGTTTCGATTTGCGAGTCAAATATCGATTGGGCAACAATGTGGACACTGGTTGTCTGTTTCTGAAGCCAATGGACATAGAGAGTTCTTCGTTCTTGGGCTGTCATTGTGTCGACATGGGTCCAACAAAGCACGTCTACACTGCGTGGCTGATTGTTGCCTGTTTTCCCGCCGCTCAACCACGATTTTATCGTATGACCTAGGTCTTGCTTGGACTGTCTCTGATATCCGTCCTCATCTTTCCCAAATAGCTAACGGTAATGATTCTCATGGTTATTTTGAAGGTAATATTTGAGACCTTCAGCCGTGCCGAGGTAATTAAGGTGAAGTTTCTCAAACTCTTGTTGGTGCTCATCGAATTCATCGAGTAGACTCCATTGTTCGTGCTTATCCATTACTGTCCTTTTAAATTCTCGAGCAACTGTTCGAAGATTGAGCGGTTTCAAGCACTCGGAATTGGACCGGGAGCCAATACGGATAATTTTGGAGGTTACATGATTCTCCAAAAGGTCTTCGAGCAGCTGATCGAGTGCATGATTTGTGTAGCAAACACATATTATAGGTCCCAGTCCCTCGTTGACCTTGGCTGTACTTCAAAGCTGGAACTATCACTCATTAGGCATTTCAAATCGAAGCTAAAACCCGGGGAGGTTGTATGGACTGGTGGTGGTATATCTTCCAAAAGCGACAGTGAGCCCATGTCATTGGGTGCAAGGAAGTCTGACGTAGGGACATCAGCAGCCTTCTGCATCGTTTGGAGAGCGAGTAACGTAGATTGAAATGATGGTAAGAGGATGCCGGAAATTCGACAAGTGAAACTGATTGATTTCGCTTCGTTCGCAGCCTTCGAAGCATGCCAATCAAGGATGTACTGCCAGTTGCTTTCAGTGGGCTCCACTAACTCCAAGATAATCGAGGCGTATTGGGGATTATCCGAGAGCGAGCCAGACATCTTCCACCTTTCATCATTGGCCCTTGCTTCTTTCTTCTCCCAATCGATAAGAGACACAGTGCAAAAGATCGCAAATCCTTTTGGGTCAACAAGACAAACAAGCGCACTCGGTTGAAGCCGTTTAGAGAGCTCCCACTATTCCTCTCGTTCCTTCTTTGCAATGTTTTGGACATTAGGTGGCTGTGTGAACCTCACTAAGGACTGCAGCCCAGAAAACTTATGCAGGTGCAAGCCTTGCACGGTGACTTGCTTGTACACATGTGCTCTCGTTTGGCTTTTGCGAGTGTCCTGACGAGTACTCGGCTAAAGCTCGGCGTGTATAACATCTCGAAGTTGACCAATTGTATCCTCTCTCAAGAGTCTGAAATTCCTATCTAGTAGCCCAGCCATTCCTTTGACATGCCAATGTCACGGGTCCCTGGCGGGAAGATACTCCGCGCGCGTGCTGGATATCTCATCGAAAGTTGGCATGATGTTAATCTTGGAAATATCAGCGTGGTCATTGTCATGCCGGCCACCGGGTGGGTCTCGCTGCGTGACAAAGACAGCAGTCGCCTGAGTAGACGATAGCTTCTTCAATCCCATCGACAAATTTGGCAGAGAAAGTCCAATGTCGAGGCGGTGTTGTAGACGTTCCAGGTATTGGAGTGATCGATGAAGGGACAGTGCGCAATTCGAGGAATTGAGCATCGTAAGAAGATCTGCAAATTGTTGGGTAACTTTCTTCAAAGAATCTTAGATAAAGGCTGTCGAGTTTAGCTCAACGACCTAGAAAAAGACAAGTAGCGAAACCTCAAGATGAGAGTTTGCCACCTTTATGTCGCGATTAATTCCTAACTCCACACAATCTGCGAGATAGCACAGAAAGGGCTGTGCCCGACGACCCCCAGGCCCAAAAATGCAGTTATAGATCTTGACGACAGCTTGTTCCATTACCAACGACGCGAGGACATCTGGGAAGGTGATTATTTCCAAGAACGGAAGCACCTCATCACGAAAGGTCGTAGTCTTTCGAGGGGCCGAGAGAGACGAGAAATCCCGTTGTATCAGTTCTTAGACTCGCTTCAAGCCACCTTCACTAGACAGACACCGAATGACGTTCTGCATCGTACCCTCATCAGTGCTGATGAGCCTTCTTGCTTCATTGAAGAAAGCTCCCAGCCCTATCCCGAGTGGGCGAGTAGTGTAGCCACCAGATGTTTGTGCTCTCCACCTGCCAAATGCAGCAAGCTCGTCCCCGTTGGCTCCGTTCTGACGGGAATGCTCATATCGACAAGGCTTGAATCAATAAGAGCCATTTCTCGCAAATTCACGGCAGATTCTATGTGGTCAGCATGGTAGATTGGCTTCAGATAGGGGATCCTCACTTTCTCGTCATCGCGTGTGGATGATTACTATTCCTCGATTGCTTTATCAAGCCTTGCAGGTAAGAGATTGAGACAACAGAAATAGGTAAGGCAGGTATCAATACTCAGGGTATGACTTAGTGCTAAAGATAGTTAGGTAGGGCAACATGAAAAATCAAAGTAGGGAACCGCTTCATGTGTGAAAGAAAACGCCCTCTCGTAGGGTAAACGAGAGAGAGTGAAAACCTAACGGACGATGGGTGAATGGGCACCTTGCTTGGTATTCACTGCGGCGCACTTCGACGTGACTTCGTACACATCTCACCTTTACGGACTTTTGGAAAAGACTAAAAGTTCAATATTCATATTGCTTTATAACAAGTTACTCACGTTCTGTGTCTCATGTGTATCGTCCTCGGGAAGATCTATCCAATACTTAGAACAATATCTAACGTGGCTTTAAGTTCTGTTTAGCCGAGACCTAGGAGAGTAGAGGCCGATCAACAACGCCGACGAGCTTCAATCCGTGTGCTCATTACTGAGGTTGTTACAGTCTTGAAATAGAATTCATAAGACACGGATGGTGATCAGGGTCAGGAATTATCATTGCATTCTCCCCTAGATCACTTGGAAGGGGAGGTCCTGCTCAATCATTCTGATTTCCTTTCCTCCTTCGATTCTTATATTCATATTGCTGGTTAATTTTCAAGCTTTTCACACTCAGCTATGGCTCCTTAGTTGAAAATGCATACTCTTTCTTGACACACGCTATTTCTTAGACCAGGTTCGTTTCATTTGAAGCTGTGCTCAAAGTCCAAGCTCCCTCGCTTCTGGTTACACATCAAGACGTTACAGGCAACAGTTACCTTGCCTGATCGGGCACAAACTACTATAATCCCTACATTTTACATTCTATGTCTATTCCTTTTTACTCGAACATGCGCGCTTGTTTCATTGAGTCTCCTGCGCGCTCCTTTTACCTTGAAATTACACTAACATAGGAACTCCCTTGCTCGCGGGCTGTTTTCGAGCCAATATATACCTGTAGTCATACCATGTCCTTCATAAGTACTAAATCTTTCTCAGTTGATTTGACTTCACCTTGCTGGAGCCGACCAGATACGGGACAGGATAGAACGAGACTCAAAATCCCTAACCATCCCGTCCCAGCCCAAGACACTCCTGCACATATAATATTCCAAGCACCCAGATAGGTAGGTGGGTTGGTAGGTAGATAAACAAAACCACATATCCAGATCTTACCTGGCTATCTATCCACTTTCTCAACAGCCTCACCAGCCAAATTCAACCCCAACCTCCCCAACCGATACCTCTCGGCCACGAAATAAAACCTAACCTGCCCCATCACGAAACTCCTCATCAAATCCCCCAACACCTCATCCCCCTCCAAAATCCTCTCAATCCGTCTAACCCTAGAAACAGCCTCCTCCCCAATGTCCCTGAGAACCCGGCCCACCTCCACGCCATCCGCCCTCGCCTTGTCATAAACATACGTATCACGCTCCAACCCCACAATCGACTCCTTATAGAACGAGAACAGATCATTCAGTTCATCAGTGAGATTCCATAGTTCGGGAACGGTATGCAGAAGGCTTTTCGGACGGGAAGGTGTAAAGATCTCGTTCGTTAGGAGGAAGTAGACGTATGCTTCGGGGCTGCCGGTCATGTTTCGGAAGTATCGCGGGAACAGAGGGGAGATTGATGCTGTGGGGGAGGTGGTGGTAGTGGATATAGTAGTACGGTCGAATTCCACTTCCAAAGGAGCAAGAGAGGATAAGATACCAGAGAAGAGTTTATTAGCGGTGAAAGATGAAAAGACGATATCGAATTCATGGAATAGAGAAATCAGCAGCTCGAAGAGAGCTGACTGCGTCTCGTGAGTGAGGAGAAGATGTCAGAATTCACGGATTTGATCGGTCAGAGTATCTCCTGTGTCGTCAAGGACGAGGTAGAAGGCTGTATACAGGCCGATGAGGAGGTGGAGGTGTGCGGAGTGGGAAGGGTAGAAGGAGATGGCGGCGAGGGCGCCGATATGAGAGAGGGCTAGGGCTTGGGCTTGGTTGGGGGTGACGGCTTGGATGCGCGAGAAGATCTGGTCGGTTAGTTCTGCGCAGGGGGGTGCGTAGTGGGTTGGAGGGATTGAGAGGGCGGAGAGTGTGGTTTGGAGGATTTTTTCATATTCTGATATGGTGACATTCTCGTGGTTTGTTGGGGGTTCTTTCTGGGAGGTTTTGAGAGAAGTGATCCGTTGTAGGACCCATCGGGAGATGAAAGGGAGGGTAACGAGGGATGTCATGGAGAGGCCAATGAACATGGGATCGAGATAAGAAGTCATAGTGAAGCTCTTTCTAGTCACAGGAAACGAGAAGGAAGAAGAGAAAACGATTTTGTCTCCAGTGCAGCTTTAAACGCTCACATATTGACTCTCAAGCGAGAGTTTACTATTAAGCCATTTGGATGTTGACGACAGGCATCATGCGTGGTAGCTCCTAACTCAGCTCGAATGCTAATGGATCTCTATACATACATTCATAAGCCCTGATGAAATGAAGTGGCAAGATGAGCTACCAAACCGGGACCGCCGAAAAATAGCATTATAGAGAGGGTTGGTTCGAAGCATGAGCAACAAAGTGGAAACTCTGATTTCTCCTTAGACTGTGATACGCCGTGGATCAAGTAGGGCTAGGGGCCAGCTGTTCATCTGGTATCGACTAAAGAGTGTGAATGAAAATATCACAGCGTTCCTCTTACCCAGCGGGATATATGTCCAAGCCGGCCACTGCGCTGGGAGAAGTACTCTGTATCTTCCTGGCCATGAATAACTCTACGGCGAAATTCTTAAAATGTGGACGACTTGATCAGACCAGTAAATTGAATTACTTACACATACCAAGATCTATCTGCCTATCCTGCCATACCATGGCTGAAATCCCGAGTCACAAAACACCGTTGCAGTCTAATACACGCGCCGATTCCGAAAGAAAGCCAGAAGGTTGAAAGTTCAATCCTCACAGAGCAGAGTGTGATTAATGAGAAGAGAACGAAACCGACAGAAAACCGAACAAAAAGCCACCATGGGTCAAATAAATCTCTTTTCTGATATAAATAAGGAAAACCCGCTTATCCCGCCAGCGCTTCAAAGCATCAATAAATAAATGGACAAACGGAGGTGAAAGGAAAAAGAAATGGATAACTTTTTTCCTCGCAAATATTGCCCAACCCCGTGGAATCAATCGTCGAGCGTGACTTTTGAATAAGATGAAAAAAAAAAAAAAATAGTGGTATCTCAGAAGGTTGAGTATCTGCGCCGGGTGTACAAATCAAGCAAATAAAGGCGACGGAGAACATAGCTCATGATGTCGGAGGAATTATTGCCGTCCGAATTCTGCCAATTCTCGCTCCTTCGCGCGCAGCATTTCCCGCATCTCTTCGGCTTCACGTTGGAGCTTAGCGCGGCGATCCTCTTGGAGCCTATCCAATTCGGTCACGCTAGGAAGCGGCTGGGAGTGAGAAGGCGCCAGTGGGGGCTGATGGGGATGTTGCTGTTGACGACTGAGGGCGGCGAGAGACGGATCTAGGCGGGACTCGTCGTGGGCACCGGAGGGGTTGAGGATGGAAGAGATGGAGCTCAATCGAGCCGGGGGGGAGGGGTTATTCGAGGACATAATCGGGGGAAGCTGATTGGAGCCGGATTCCAAAGTGGTTGGGATTGCGACAGCCTCGGCCGATGATGCGGTTTCGGCGAGCGTGCGTTTCTTGGGATTGGCAGGATTGGGGGAGAGCGAGCGACGACCGAATTGCGGCACGGGCGAATGACTCGGCGCGAGACGATCGGGCTCCAACAGTCGAGGTGGGGGTGGGTGGTGTGGTAACGACATCGTGCCCGAACTGAATCCGGTGAAGTCAACGGGCGGCGGTGCGAATCCAAACGGCCGGTGAGCGTGCGGCGACACTCGGTCGGGCATGTGGCCGTAGGGATCCATCGGTTCGCTGCTATAGTATCGATAATGGTCTTCGTGGCCGTGAGCCAGGGCAGCAGGCGACGCTTCGGGGGATGCGGAGGAGCCATTCGACGAGTGCGTTGCGCCCGTCGGAGACGATTCGCGCAAGGCCGGAACAACCCGCTTCCGACGCTTGATGATGGTCTTCTTCATCGTCGTGGGCCTGTAGCATCCGTGCAATTTGTAATAGAGACCTGTTTAGCGTTAGGGTAATCTCCTTGATACACAACAGAATTTGACTGAAACCAAAAATCAAATTTGGAAGAGGCGGGCAACGGAAACATACCACAAGCGTTGCAGATGGGATGACCATTCTCATCCCGCCGCCAGAGCGGCGTCACCGTAGTTCCACAATTCTGACACGACACCAGCATATTCCCATCTGTCCCCGTAGGTGTCCCATTCTTCACCGGCACTTCCGGCTCCGGTAAAGGCGCGGCCTTTTCGACGGGTGGATTGGGGGTTCGATTCCAGGCATGTACCGGGACAGTTCCGCGAGGTGTCGACTTGTAGACCCGATTATTGTAGGCAGGACAACCGTCGCAGCCCTCAGCGCCACCGGTACCGTTGCAGCTACCTCCGCCAGGACACGATCCCGACGAACCATGACATCCTCCTCCCTCGCTGTGTACGTGAGGCTGGTCCGCCGGCAGATTCGAGGGCGTGCCAGCCGGCTGCACGCCAGCTTCCGGGCTTGTCTGGACACGGTTACGTTTCGTCGGGCGGGCGACATTTCGCGCTTTCAAGTAGAGGCCACAGGCGTTACAAATCATCGCACCCGTTGGTGATCGTCGCCATAACGGAGTGCTCTTAGTTCCGCAATTACTGGTCCGTGTCAGTTTTCCATATGCTGCTAAATCCAGATAGCCAACACTAACCTGCAAGAATGTCCTAGAAACGAAGTATCCTTCTGGGATTTAGGCGACGACGATAGTTTGTCCGAGGCCGGTGCATTCACCTCAGCCGGCCCATATGCGGAGTCATCTCCCAGGGGTTCCATCTCATGTCGACCGCGAATTGGATCGGCTTCGAAGCTTTGAGCCCGGGTGTCATCTCGCGGTCGCTCGACAGGGTGTTCCCGACCAGCTTGGGCCGACGAGATCAGCTGTTGGGCAGCGTCTAGATCCTCCGCCGACGGGTGTCGCGCGACGACATCGGGGGTTCGAGGGAGCGATCGCACCGTTTCCATCTGCGGAATGGATGCTAACATTTCCACCACGTAGTCTGTCGAAAAGGGAGGGGCCCTTGGTGAATCTCTTTCGCTACCTCCCAACGAGGAACTGGAAAGAGGGGAGGGGCCGACGGTGAAGGGGACGGCGAGAGTCCCGGAGATAAGGGTAGGATGAGTCGAGATGGACGGTGGAAATCAAGGGGAAATCGCGTTGTGAGAGGAAGGCGTCGCACCACAGTCGAAGGTTGTAATGTATGGTATCACAAAGGCAAAAGTCGGTCAAGATGACGGTGCAGGAGAAAAAGAAAAGAAAAAGCAAAAGACTAGGAGGGCGTCTGGCTGGAAGGGCGAACGGTAGGTAAATGCAGCTAGTGAGACTCCAAACCCAACCAGGCGGAGCCGGGGAAGAGGGACGATGATCCCTGACAGCGGACCAGAGATACCGGAGCGGAGTAGAGTTGGAGAAAATTCGCAGCGGCCAAGAAAGAAAAACCGAAGGAATTTTAAAAAGAGGGTCACCTAGCAGAAGCGTAGATTTAACGATCACAGATCTGGCGTAGGGTGTTGGGTCTGTTTCGCGAGGCTTAAAAGGTGGCAATGCGATCGTGACGTTTAGGCAGACACGCTGGAAGGAACCGGTGATTAGTGGGAAGTGCCAAAAGAGAAAAGAGCCGAAACGGAGAGATCCCAGTCAGGAATAGACAGATGCAAGATTAATGAAGCAGGAGAGAAGGAAGAACAGATCAGGGGGAGGGAAAGGAAAGGAAGAGCGAACAGGAGATAAGGTGGGTTAAGGGGACGAAGAACAAGAAAGATCGACGGCGATCAATCAAGCGACGGAATGTCGGATCAGATATGATGTGGAGGACGGGAACGAAGGGTGAGACGAGAGAGGGCAGGTATGGTATGCGTGGCTGGAGGAAAGGGAAGCAAAGGACAGCAAACAGAGGGAGGATGAGGGATCGATCGGGGAGATGTGATTGATTTGATAGCGATTCGAAGGCATGGAAGGGCGGCGAAGACAAGTGGGTAATTATGATGATGATGACTGGGTCCGACCGGGAGGGATCTCTGATATGCGCGTGTCTTCAGTCTTGTGTCGGCTTACCAGATGTCACTCATGCCGACTCGTATAGTATTCAGTAAGATGAGGCTGTCCGCATTCCCAGCGTGCTGGTCTTATCGAAGGCAGTGTTCGTTATCGATCTCCCAGGGGGATCTACAGCCGGGGTGTGTTGCGTTCTAAAGTTAAGGTCCCTTTGTCTCTGCTGAATCTTGCCTCTTTCGGTTCGGTTTTTTAATTTCGAATTTTTAGTTCTGTTTTTTCTTTTTCTTTTTTTTTCCTTTCCCTTTTTTTTTGCCCCTGCAGTTCAATAGTGTCAAACTTAAGGGATGGTTGGGAAGAGTCGGGCTGGGGAGGTCAGTCAATCCGGTAAGGTTGAGGGAGAAGGTAGAAGAGAAGAAGTCCCTGACCAATTCTGAGTTTTTCCTCTTGCTCTGACATCAACAGAATCAATTTCCCAAATGCCCATCCTTCTTCCTTCTTCCTTCTTCTTTTCCTCCCCAGATCGTATCATCCCGGATCCACCGCTGCCTCATCCGGTCTAGTCAACCGGGTCCGGTGGATGTACACCTTCCCCCTTTGGGCCTTAGCGCGTCTGTGCTCAAATAAGCCCGTTTCTCGCGTCGCCAATTGGTTGAAAGGCCGTTACTTCTCATGTCAGCGGCATTTTGGTGGCGGTGATTGGCTGACGGGTCTCTTCCATCACGATGGTCGCCTTCGGTTGCATTTTTAATCGCCGCCCGATGACTGAACAATCTTACCATCTCCACTTTCGATGACTTTCCCTTCGGCTTGCTTGGACCGACCCGACGCCGCTTTGCTGCTTCCGGTAATTCTGTGGGTTTTTTTTGGTCTTTACTTTAGTCACTTTAGTCACTTTTTCGCGGGTGGCCGGTGAGTTGAGTGGCCATTTCTGCCTGCTGCTCGGGTTGGGCTAGACTGACCTGACTGAGACACCGCTTCCTCGGAGGTTAGACTTTTGTTATCTCCTAGCCTGCCGTTTGATCTATCGTGCCGCTGATTGGTTCGTGCGACGTGGCGTGCTGCGCCCTTTCAATTACCCTTTTCCTTTTTTTTTTCTGACTTTTTCCCTCGGCCGCTGATTATCTCTGCGCGATTATTATTATGGCCGATGGGGATAGCACAGGGGTCCGCCACTCGGCACTCATTATTATTATTATTTTATTATTACTGTACTGTATGTATAGGCGTCAAGCGTACACAATGCTAACTTTCAATCTTCCATATTCTTACAGTATTTCTTAAGCGCGGTGACTTGCTATTATTGATTTGCCAGACTCACCATTATCGCTGTGCGACCTTCACTTGCATATCATGAGTAGAGTAGGTATTACGGTCCTACGGAATACCACTTTACTGTACTAAGGTAATTAAGTACATAACTCCTCGGAACCTCTGCCGTCGGCATCCGGACTAAAAAGTACAAAGGAAGCAAGTCGCGCAAAGTACCACTCTTACTCTTTCAGGCGTGCGGCCTTGCTGTGTACTCCTATCTAGGTGACTGCTACATCATTTTATCTCAACACAAGCTATGGAGTAATGTGATGATTTATCATGTTGATGACGGGGTACTACTCACTGCTCGTTCATTAATCATAAAAGCTATGTCTCGTTTCAGAAATAGATAGTAAGGAAACTACCCCTATGAAATAACTAGTCTCTTCGTATCCGTACCCCAGTCTCATCTAACTAGACCAGGCAGTTACATCAATAACCCCCCAACTAACTACGGATACCGATGCTGATAATGATCACGATTATCTCGCTTAGAGATCAGGCGACGTATACATACGCAGAAGACATGGATTTCGGCCCCATTCTACCTTCCTAGCTAGCTAGGCCGAACCATCATCCTAACGCTCCGTACTCCGTATCTCCTTTGGCCTTTGATCCGAACTCCCGTACGGAGCTTCGCGCCTTACCTCGGAGAATCGCTCGTACGACCGGTCCGGGCAGTCATCTTTTTCTTTAAAACTGTTATCTCCGAGACGGAGACTCCGAGGTCTGTTGGTTTTGCAGATATAGTTAATTATGATTGTTGATTATGAGTCTTCGGGTTGTCTGATCTCCGAGTCCGAACGGAAAGTACCTATTGTTGAGGCGCACGAGGTAACTAGGGAGGAGGGCGTTCTCATTGATTGAATCTGATCTGATTAGACCAAACCTGGTGCTCGTGATACATTATGGCGTGGCCAGTGACTGCCCAGACCAACCCATACCTAGGTCGGACGCCCTACGCCCTTCTGTACCCATGATTCATCATCATCGCCATCATTGGCTTCGTGTCCGGTTCTGGGTAGGTGCAGTCCGGTAAGTCCAAGACCCTAGGGCATGCAGTTTGATTGGTAGGTCGATGTGATCAGTCGACTGCAAACCTAATCAATCAGTCAATCTATCAATCAATAGTAATCAATCAGTCAATCATGCCACGCGGCCGGTTCGAATGGAAAGATACTTCCATGTCTACCGGGCACCTGCACGGTGTAAATTATTACCTACTATTATTACCTACCTACGCAGGAAATGACGGGTATCTCCTCTGTTAAGCAATACGTACGAGGTAAATGCCTGATGGAAACTGTCAGAGTAATGATAGGTAGTCTGTTCTTTATTTAGCTACTGTCATGCCAGATCAGACCAGAACAGATCACTAGGGCTTAAGTCTTTCTTATATTACAAGAATCTCATTGAAATTGCAACATTGTCGAATCATATCGAATCAAATCAAATCTGCCACGCCACTTGGGCTTGGGAGGAAAGAATTAGATAATAAAAAAGAAAGAAAAGCAAAGCAGGAAAAGGGAAACCCCTCTTCGAGCAAAAGAAAAAAGAAAAAGAGAATATAAAAAAATGTAAGACTATTCCAAAGAAGAAGAGGAAAAAAATCAACCCACCACCCCAACAGAGACAGCAGATCATCTCGGGAAATCAAATGAAATCGCCAGACACATACAGTGCAGTCAGTGCATTGTTTGTTGTCAACACACTGCTATTTTTTTTTTTCTTCTTCTGTTTCTGTTTCGCTTCAAGTCTGATCCGTGTGAACGTGCATCGCTCGAATACCATCGTATAAGTTTTCATCGCGCTCGTACATTGTCGTCCATTGCTGAAGTTATCACTTTCCGCTAATGGTTCGTATGCTTTCCCTTCTTCCGTCTTTTGTATCCCTCCTGTCATCATCAACCTATCTTCTTTTTATCGCGGCCGTTGTTGCGGAGGAGACCAAGGCGTAAAATCAACAAATCATACGTCCCAATCAACCCTCCGATCGAGCCAGAGCCATATGACCATCACATTTAAATCTGCTCAGCACCCCAGGCCTGGTCGCTCTCGCGCATGTTCGAGGGAGGCTCGATGGAGGGAACGAATTCCAGAGCGAGGTAGCCGACGCCGATGAATCCGACAATGGAACCGGCGATGTACCGCAACACGTGGTCGTGCAGGAGAATCGAACCGACGAAAATGTAGACTTTATCCACCCCGACCAGTCAGCAAAATGGAATTTCTCAACACGGCATGGAACAGAGAAAACAGGGAAGCACTTACAAACACCTCGACCAAGGAACGAGAAGAGGAAGGACGCATAGCGGTAGACATAGTCGGGGACGTTGGGCAGGAATTCCAGCCCACCGATCACTAAGACGCAGAGAATCGTCAGTATTGTCGTGTTGCCCATTTGGGCTAACCAATCCGGTATCGATCGATCCAATACTTACGGAGTCCGAAGATGATCACATAGGCTCCTACGATGATGGAGCCTAAGGACGGAGGGAAGAATTGGGCGATCCCGCCCAACACCATGATCACGCCGACGGCGATGTTGATGATTCGGCTATCATTGGTTAGCTGAGTTCTATTGTCCCCGGTGGTAATTCAAGCGCTATCGACATATCGGGGGTGTTTCGTACAAGATGTTAGAGAGATCCATGTTGATGGTTGTCGGGGTAGACAAAGATTCCGCAAGTTATGCAATCGGTTCCCGTCGGAGGGTGTGAATAAGGTATGTAGTGGAAGACGAAACGGTCGGTAAAAGTTCTGAGGAAAGGCAAGCGTTAGGAAACCATGTATCTATGATGAATCGACTCCTGGTCCAGCGTCCGGTCGAAGAAAGTCGCGGGCTGGGAATATCGTAGCCTGGGCTGAGCTGAGCTGCGTGGACGAAGCACCGGAACGTCGCGTGACAGGCGAGGGTTCGATTGGCTGGCAGACGCCTTTAATCGGGGGACGAGGGATGGAATTCACCTTACAGAATGAAGCTTCTAAGCAAGCAAAGAGCAGGGAGAAAGTGCGGAAAATCAAGATGAGAGAGGCTCAAGCATCCAGTTGTTGCGCCGTCGCAAGCAGCGGGTCTGCCAAGAACGTCGGCGGATGACTCAGCGGGCTCCGACACTCGTCTGAATGCGTGGAAGGTCTGCTATGGGGCATGGAAGCATCTAGGAATTTAATTTACTGTTCTCGGGACCAGACCAAGGAGAACGGCTATGAGATCTTTGCTGCTATTTTTAAACCGAACTATGATGTATCAACAGAAGGTTCCCAGCTTCCCCGGACAAGGCTGGAGATGTGATACACTTCGGATTACACCCGCCTTAGGTACCTGACTAGCCCTGACCAGAGGTATCCATATAGACCGTTTACACCAACAGCGCTCCCTGCCTCTTCTCCAATCTCGCAACGGATAGCCCGTTGGCTAGTCGGCTCATCTTCATCGAGTCCTCTTCCAGTTCCGTGTAGATAGCATCCAAATCCGTGCCGAGTCCCACCTGATCGGCCGTTTTCAGGCTTCGTGTATCGACGAACGGGGCAATGGAAGGCCATACACTCTGGACATTGTTGAAGAAGAGCTCGACTCCAAGATCACCCAATCCTTTGATCTCCTTGATCAACTCGCGCGTTTTGGCTCGGTCATGATGTGCCTCTTCCCAGAGATTGTTCAAGTCCCCATCTATTGCTTGAGTTAGCAACCATGTCAGATGTCTCGTAGCGAAATCAAACACGTACCATATCTTTCGTCCACGAAATGTGCCAAATCCCCCAGATTTGTTGCCCCCTGTTCCCTATACCGATTGTATCCCCCGTCCCTCAGCACCGCTGTTCGCTCTTCGAAACTACTCTCCCCTAGCTTGTGGATGTCGTGATACCCAACCTCGATGAGCTTGTTGATGGCTTGCTGCGATAGATCATGTGAAATCGGCCGTGACTTCAACATAGCATCGATGATCATCGCGAGCACTGTTTCTGCAGATGCCGTAAGAGGCTCCTTAGCTATAGGGGTACCGTCGAGCGGTGCCCGTCCGAGCTGATCGATGGCTTTTTGTAACTTGGGGTGCTGTTTGTCCGTTGCCTCTTCTTCCTCTTCTTCCTCTTCTTCCTCGTCTCGTTCTTCGTCTTCTTCCTGTTCATCGGGCTCAACATCTTCGTCTTCATCTACCTCGTCGACTTCCTCTTCTTCTTCTTCCTCGTCTCCTACTTCAACCGTATCGTTCTCATCGAATTCACCCGTCTCATCTTCTTCGTCGAAATCGTCCTCGGCTGTAGCTGCCACCGCGGGAGTCGGTTTCACTGCTTTGGCAGGGGGCTGGTCCTCTTCTTGTGCTTGGTCTTTGCTCTGTGGGGCTTGTCTTTTCGTGGTAGAGGGATACTCGAGATCGCGGTCGTTGCGTTTGCGTTTGAAAGCGGCTGTGCTTTCGTCGGTTTCTGGGTACTCTTCTACCTTTGGGGGTTTGTATTTCATTTTGTCAAGGATTGGTTCTAATGACACTAAGAAGAAACAATTGAATAGTTTTGGCAAGATTTGGGATGTAAATGGCTCAATTGGGGATGGGATGACAAGTCCGGGGTAGTTCGAGGTAGGCCGGGGTGTTATGACTTATGAGGTACGAAGGTAGTACTAGAGGTGGTGACGTCGTCATGATGAAGATATGAGTCCCGCTTGGGGATGCAGATTATTGGTTAGTAATGGGGCTGAACTTGACTTTATCGGGTATCTGCCTATTGGAGTTATCTTATTTGAGTGCTCATAGGGCTCATAGGGCTCATTCAGCCCGATTTAGGCCGGTCGGCATATCTACGTACGGTGTACTATCTACATGTATGTACTACTCTGTACGACAGCCCTATAAGTTTACAGCTTAGCGCGGCCTTTCCGCTGCCTCAGCACCTCCTCGGCCAATCTAACTGCCTCGGCCGCGCATCCATACGAGGCCTGGTATCCGAATCCTCCGTGGCCGTAGTTATGCACGACAGCAACACCGTCGATCTTATCGGCTTCTATGCGCGGGCCGTCGTCTCGAAGGGGCCGCAGACCGACCCCGTGCCGGATGATATCCAACCCCTCGATGCCCTGTCCTTCGCGCACAATCTGCGGCCGCAGTGCAATGGCTCGCTTCATGATCCGCACCGCTAGGTTCGGATCCGGTAGCGGATCCCACTGATCTTTCTGGAACGAGCCGCCGAGGACGGTCCCGCCACCCGCGGCTCTTTTCATCATGTAGACGCCCTCATCGGGTGCATCGTCGCCCGCGGAGCCCGCGAACATCGCGCCGGGGTCGTTCCGCACGACGACGATCTGTCCGCGGGCCGGGTGCAGCGTGTCGTCGTTCACGCCGCCGAGCTTTTTGGATGACAGCCCTGTGCAGTTGATCACTAGGTCGGCTTTTTGGCCGCTGTGGTGCGCGTCTGCGGCCTCGGCGATATGTTTGAGTACGCCGCGTTTGAAGACTGTGCCGTTTTGGCGGCATTGGCCGACTAGCCAGGGGAGGTAGACTGCTGTGTTGATGCAGACGGAGGTGTAGATGAATGTGTTATCCACTCCGGGGGCGAGTTGGTCGGAGGGAATGCTTTGGAACTGGAACGGGTGAGTACTGTTCTGTATCAATGCAGCTCCGCTGAGGGGGCGCGTACATTAGGCACGACGTCTTTATACCAGGGTTCTTTCTCCGAGGTTCCCGTCGGGTTCTTGCGGTCTTTATGCCGCTTATGCACGGTCGACTCTGTTCTATATCAGGATTGACTCCCAGAAGCCCGCCGAATGAATGGACTACCATACCTTGAAAATGAATCCCGGCGTCCAGGTGGTTCTCCGCCAGATCTTTCAGGGCGGGCCAGGTCTCTCGCTCCCAACGGGCGTGGGCGCTTCCGGGGACTCCAGTTCTGCAGCCGATTAGTTTCGAGCGTTTCTAGCCAGTGAATCCAGCCATACGGGACGTAATTGGCGCCCGCCCATGGGGAGCAGTATTCGATATCGTAGTCGCCGGGCATATGCTTGGCGACCACGGTGATGGAATTGGAGGCATCCTTGGATAAGAGATATGCCGTGGTGAGTCCGGAGACTCCGGCGCTAGGAGCATGTCAATTGGATGATCAATTGCAAGGGGCAGTGAATTCACCTACCCCAGGATGACGATGTTGTTCTGGGTAGCCATATTGAGTGGCTGGTATGGATCTACGTAGATTGGGCGGGATGGAATAATGCGGGGTAGTGAATGATCACCTCGACGAAGGGAAACAGAGAAACGTTGAGATGATCAAGGCGCGGTGTCAGGCCATTTAATACGAGGGCAGGAATGATTTCCGGCGGGGAAAATAAGGTAGGGAAGGTAAGAGGCCGGCGGATGAGGAGAAACAATGCGAGGGGGTGGTCTTTGTCTCCGAGACTCCGACTCTTTCTGTCTCTCCCCGGATTGCGGAGTCTCGACGGGTATCTTTCGGAGAGTTACAATACCGTATTTCCACACAGTGAAGGCCTCGTGTCAAGTACGCGTTAGTCATCGGGAATCGAAAAAAATACGTAATTTATACGGTGTAGTTCAGTGTGCCTCGATACACCGATCACAATGACTTTGTCTGCCCGACATGTCCAAAGAGATCGATCTCTACCGGTGAATATTCTTTGATCAATTGGATCGGATCCTCCTCCCGTCCCCAGCACCTCGTGGATCATGTAGGACAAACCAGAGAACACAGAGAACACCTAAAAAAAATCGAGTCTCGTCATCGTCGGGCGTCACTCACGTGGCGGCTGCCAATCAGGAGCGCGCAATGGACTGACCGCCTCGCGTAGTCGCGTGTGCACAACCTCAGGCAGGCATCGGCAGCAGATCCCCGATTCTCTTTCTCTTCACTCCATTTCCAGTTCCCACCCCCGTCTGCTGCGCGCTTTTGGGGCCTGCTTGCTTTCTTTCTTTCCTCTCTTTCTCCCTCACTCCCCTCTCTTCTGTCCTCTCTCTCTCTCTCTCTTTCGTTTTTCCTCTCTTCTTCTATCCCTCTCCTCTCTCTATCTTCCCCTTCGTTCTGCTCTCTGCTCGACGAAGCTCTGGTTCCTTTTTACTTCCCTCGCTCTTCCTTACAAATGCGGGCCTTTCGTCGGGCAGAGCTACTTTCCAATCATGGCGGATGTTCCCAACGGTGGCAGAATCGTGCCCATTGTCTCGCCGGCCCGTCAGCAGCATTACTCCCTTCCCTCGCCTCCCGCTAAGCTAGACGAGATCCAGCATTCTCAGCAAATTCCGCAGTTAACTCAATCCAATCTCCCGAGATCTATGCGTCCCAAACCCGAAGACGCGGCATCTCTGAAACTCCCGTGTCTCAACGAATTAGGGCTGTATGCTCTGCCCACCGAAGGTGACGGTAAGCATTACCCTCCGTCCCTTGATTGGACCGGTGTCTGCATGCACAAGCCATGAGTTTGCAACGGTTCCACTACTCTGGATCGCCTGGCTCCTGACCGTCAATGGTAGGCAATTGTCTCTACTACGCGCTCTCCGATCAACTCTACGGTGACTTCTCCCACGCCGATCCAATTCGCATCCGTCTGGCAGATCACATTGCCGCCAATCGGGACTACTTCATGAGCTTCATAGCCGCCGTGGGTGGGGAGCGTCGGGCTCCTCGACGTGCAGCCGCGTCGGCAGCCCGACATGCGTGTCGCTCCTCTTCCTCTTCCAGTCCGGCGCCGGTCTCGGTCTCTGCCAAGGACAAGGAGCGCAGCTTCGATTCCAAGGTGGCCGAGTCTCGGAAACGGGGTGTCTGGGGAGGAGCGGAGGAGATCCAGGCATTCTGTCAGTCTTTCAAAAAGGACGTCAATGTCTATACTATGTACGGGATCCAGAACTTTCGTGACGTCCATGCTCCGGACGAGGAACAGCGGGAAACGGTTCATATTGCTTTTCACGTAAATCTTCCTATATTTCTTTCTGCCTACCGGCTGTTCTGACCCGTCTAGGACTTTCATCATTACTCTTCGGTACGGCATACGCATGGTCCCCACGAGGGCTTGCCGCAGATTCCCAAATATGCTAAAGAGCTCGAAAAAGAGGCATCTGCTGCGACGAGTACCGTCGTAGACCTGGCTAGTCCGTGGAAGATCTCGGCTATCCAGGAGGGTCTCGGGGGCAAATATGATCGAGACGCTATTGTGGAAATGCTTCAACAGTGCCGAGGCAATATTGATAGAGCATTTACGAATTTACTGGGGGAAAGCAGCACTGCCAACACACAGCCATCAGAGTCGACGACTTCCCGAGCCATCATGAAATCGCGTCTTCAACCGTCTACCTCTTCCCGGTCATCATCGCCCTTCAGCACGGGAAGTAAACGCTCTGCCGATGACAGTGACTCGGAGGAGAACCCTCGTCCGGCCGTCCGGCGCAGTCGAGCCCGAGATCAAAAGAGACGGATTCTTCCCGACGTCACGGTGGGAATCGCCTTCAGGGACGATCAGAATGATCTAGTCTCCCTTCGACTGCGCGTCAGTCCGGATGCGGTCGCTGAGAAGACGGTAACCAAGCAGAATATAGACGAGACCTCGGCGGAGGCTGAAAAAGAAAAGCCACGGCCCGTCATCAAAGAGAAGAAACCCAAGGCTAAACCTAAGCCTGCTGTCCCGGATGAGGTCTTCGGCCAGCCGAGCGAACTCAAAGAAGGGCCCAAACCACGACGCAGCCAGCGCATCTCACGAAGTCGCAACCCTCCTCAAGCGGCTTAGATTACACCATCACTATCCTTTTGTCTATCCTTTCCGCTCTGTTCTTTGGATGAATTTCGTCACGCATACGAATGTCACGACCACCTCATATACTTTGGCTTCCACCAGTTTCTGGGTGCATTACAAAGCGCGTTGGGAGTTATCTATTCTTTCTGTTTACCCGCTTAGACCTGGATCATTTTTTTTCTCCTATTAGCGAACAAGCGGTTGATTTCTCATTTACACGATATCTATCTATGAAGGATGATATCAGCGACCTTACGACCTTTCATTTGACCTATCTACTTCCTGGTGCCTTACTATCTTACCTTATCTCTCTTTTCTCCTTGCTCGCTCTCTTTGCTCGGTCTTATATCACTTTCTCTACCATTTCAAAAAGGCGTTTGAATCACAGGGTGGCATGCATCGATTCGACATGATCTGCATTGGGAGGCTTACCTGCATCAAAAAAGTTTTAAACCAATTTTGTTGGGTGGTTTTGTTTTGCACTTATTTCCATATTTATTGGATCTATATATCTTTTCCCAGGAGGAAAGGAACTCGACAGTTTCATGTTGGCTCCCCATCCAACGTTGGTCGTTCGACATGATCTTGTCTTTCTCTGGTACTGGTTTCTGGACTTGTTGCAGGGTTTCACCTGGATAGAGAAGCATATTCGGTATATGGTTTTAGAGATGAATCAACTATACTTGCTTGCTGGTCAGTCAGTAACGATCTATGGTTTCTGGTCTTCATTTAAGTACTGTGCTTGGGTTCTATTTTAAAATGCTCTTCTAGTCAGCATATTAGCCTGAGAAACGATGCGATGTTTCTCAATCGCATCTTTGGGTGGATTACCACTGGTCCAACAGCACTCTTTTGATGAGTAGTCTGTCGCTTATTTCCATCAGAAAACCCTCCTGTTAGTTGATCATATCTTCCATCAACATCAGTAGGGCCGATGGATGTGTGCCGCCCTAGCGTCTAGATATCTATACACTCCACCACTCTTTTCCTTTCCTTTTCACATCCCCCGCCTCTCGATCATTAAATTTCATGGCATATACTAACCTCTTATGCTATGGCTTTTCTAACCCGTCATCCTCCCTGTCCACGACGAAAGCACTTGGCCTAGAAGGCAACACTATCATGCGGCATCATCGGACCCTTAGGGCAGTCATTTTAATAAACTAAATGAGCTAGTTGGGGGCCAAAACAACGACAAATCATTCCTCCATAAATAAATTCGTGTTTAGTCCCCACGAACGGCATTCTCAACTATCGTCATGCCCAACAAATCGTCTAAAGTTCCCGAACCCCGCTACGGATGACTTTCAGCCTTGTGCTTATCATGAGCTTCCGTCGACTATAAAACCCCTCATCCATCCATCATTCGCTGCCACGTTCTACTCTTCCGGATTCAACCATTTGCAAACAAACACAAGCATCCACACAACATGGTCGACGTCAATTTCATCGAGCTCTCCACCAAGCCCGGCGCAAAGCTGAGCTATACCTTCCAAACGCCCGAACACCTCTTCCACTCCACCAACGCTCATCGCCTTCCTCAACGGCCTCGGTCTCCCCCAGGCCTTCTGGCAGCCCGTGATCACGGAGCTTACCACCCTCCGCCAAACCAAGGACCTCGCGGTGCCCTCCTTCCTCACCTATGACCGCTTCGGCCAGGGCCAAACCACCGATCGCGACCCCCAGGACGCCGTCACTGAGGACCCCTCGCACGGCCACGACTGCCTCTCCGCCGTGCACGACCTACACCAACTCCTAGTCCAGCTAATTCCGGCCAAACTGGGCCTCCCTGGCCCCCCAGACACGGACTCAGACTCAGACTCTCTCCGCCTCATCTTCGTCGCCAACTCCCTCGGCTGCGCCCTTGCTCGTCTCTACGCGGCCCAATACCCCGGCTCCGTCTCCGGTTTGATCCTCCTCGACAGCATCCTCTCCAACTCTGACTTCGTCTCCATCTTCCCAGACTCAGACGACCCTGACTTCCCGCCCTCCAAGCACTTGCCCCCCAACCGTCAACGTCGAAACACTCCGCGCCGTCCGCGCCAACACAACTCGAATCTTTCACCCCACCGCCCCCAACAAAGAATCACTCTCTCGCAAGAACCTCGCTACCCTTCTCCCTGAAGCCTCGGAGCCCAAGCTCATCGGCCCTGCGGCCCAGGGCGGTCATCCCTACGTCACAGTCATTGGCCACGACTTCGATGCGTTTGCGACGGAGTCGACGAAAATGGGCATTCCTGAGGCATTGACGAATCTGTATGTGAATCCTGCCTGGGAGAGGTATAACCAGGACTTGGTGGGGATTACAGAGCCCGGGTTTGCGAGGGGGCCGGTTAGGGCTACGGGGGCGGGGCATTTTATTCAGAAGGATCAGCCGGGGTTTGTGGCGGGAGAAATGGAGGGGGTTCTTGGGAGGTTGGGGGTTTAGGTTTCTGGGGAGGTGTGTGTTGTGAGGTGTTGAGGGGAGGGGAGGAGCGTTTGGTTATGGATGGATGGGTGGTGTGTTTTCTAGATGGTCTATGTGCCCTGGCCTCCTGAAAGAGAAGAGAATCATCTAGTAGGGCTCTCTCTTCAAACAAGAAAAAGAAATCAGGTATATGGTATATAATTCATTCAATAATTATCATGCATGTTCGTACAATACAGACATGCAAAAGTGAATAACACGACAGGCCTACATGAGGTGCCATGCTCGGTCTATGTAAGTTCAAGTTCTAAAGAGAACAAATGAGAGAAGAGTGGGATGGTAGTCAGGAAGGACAAGAGGATTGGTCCCTCTTCTTTGGCCCCTGGCAAGGAACGGTATGGGTCCCGGGGATAGAGGCAACGAGTCACGCTGTTGCTCGCCGTGACAGTAACACTCAAATGAGGTGTCATGTACACCTGGAACATACTGTCAAGAGGGTAGTCAAGATATCAATATCGGATGATCTTGGTCTTGCAGATGATATTAAAGTAGTCGGACGCTGGCCACAGCAATTACACATGATTGCTTCGAGGTCGCATACCCTATAGGCTGATGCGCCTTGGATGTTTTATTCAAGATAACCCCAAGATGCTCACGTTAGGGTCGATGGACGAGAAAACGTCGGATCCGGTCGTAGACGCACGCCCGGGGAATAGCACAGATTATACAGCTCGTCAACAAACGTATTGGATGCCATTTCACCGGCAACCACGGTCGTATGCGACGCGTGTCTTCCCAGGGTAGATTCGACGGTAGGTTCTGCCAGCTTCGCAACATCCACCTTGACTTCTCGGCGGACCATGATCTCTGGCGTGATGGTTTTATCAGCGAAAGACTCCTGTGAAACGTTGCGGACTTCGGATCCCGCCTGTTTGCGTTTCCAGAACTGTAGACCGGATCGGGAGGACGGCGGGACCTGGGTGATGTCGGAATCCGTGGCCGAACTGGACCGGACGTTCGAGTAGAATAGCTCCTGGCCGAGTTCTTTGGCGAATCCACCGGAATCGGCGACTCCATCGTTCACTTGTTGTTGCACACGGAACAGTCGAAGAGGCGTGAAGGTGTAATCTGGGTTCGAGACCTGCGTGTCTAGCGACCCGACGACGCAGAACGGCAGGATCACGCAGTTCTGGGCATCATCAACGCCGGATCCGCGGCAGGGCGCGATGAGAGGGCGTGCTGAGAACTTGGACGCGGCGTTGACGTCGGGGGGAAGGGCGGAGCACATGTCTGACATAGCTCGGATCATTTGCTGGCGGAACTCGTCCACTTCGATGTAGGATCGGGCAGTATCGGACTTTAGCCAATCTAAGCATGTGGAGATGGCCCATCCTTCCATATGTGCGATCAATTCCAGGTGTTGGATTTGGAGTCGTTTGGTCTGTAACGACATCGACGGGAGTGGATTCCCGGTTCCCTTCGCGGTGAGAACCTCGAAGTGGTCGTGGATGGTAGGACGCATGACGAAGGAAACCAGGTGAACTCCCGGCTCGAAGTTTCGGCTGGAGGTGGCATAGTCGCGCATATCTCGTAGATGGTTACCCAAGATGCTGGTGGGAACATGCATCCGACGAGCCAAGATCGAGGTGACATTCTCGATTGTGGTGAATCGGAAGCCTGCCGAGGCCATACGCGTGGCATCCTGTTTCTTCAGCTGACGCACGGTGAACAACAGTTGACCCTTGCCGGCCCGCAGCCGCGAGTATCCCATAGCCCGAGAAAAGCGCGAGTGCGGAGCAGTGGTGGCCAGAACATCATCGTAGAGCATACCCAGGGCCGGCAATGGCTGTCGGACTTCATCGGCAAGATCTTGGGCAGCCACGCAGAAGTGGCGCTTGAACAAATCGTCAAAGTTAGACTGCAGTTCCGTATCATGATCAGAGACGACGCCCTTTGAAATGTAGTGTTCCATCATCGCCTCATCCGACTCGATCCGACCTCTCATGAAAGGAATGACATCCTTAACCAACTGCCAGTTCCTGCTCGCTCGGAAGGCCCAGAGAAAGGCTGGGTGTGTTCGGGTCAGATCGTCGTCGTTGAATGTCTAGATGTCCAAGCATATCAGTATGAGAACGATAAAAGCAGAAAGAGTATGAACGTACTCTACCGATGTAGCGGTCCACGATTTTCCGGCTGGGAAGATGAGCATGCGGCGTAACCATGACTCGACCTTCGGGATCGAAGAAAGCACAAGTCAAGACCAACTGCTGAGCCCGGGATCTCGATTTCCTGTGGCTTCCACCAGCAGCAATAGCGCACGCAGACAACACACCACAAGCAGCACAGGCCTATATTGGTCAGTAGAGATCCCCAGAATACACGGTCATACGACTCACCAAAACAGAGCAGATGATCACAGTCTGACTTCGAGACAGCTGCCCGCCGTGTTTAATTCTTTCGTCGTGGCTTGTGTACGTCGTACCAACGGCGGCTGTCCAGTGCATCCCCGAGACCGCGGCAGCAAGAAAACATCCGCAGAGTCCACGTCTCCACCAACTATCCGTCCAAGTCGCTCTCCATCGGAAGAAAACACCGAGAGCTGCGGTGCTGGCGAAAACGGCAATGATAGCGGCGCCAGCGATGTTCGCAGCCTCGTAAGAGCAACTGTAGTTGGCGATGCCCAGTTGACCGACATAGTGCATACCACAGACCGAGCCGCCAGTCAGTAAACCGCCCGCGGTGATTCGAACATATCCTGCCTTTTCGCTGGCACCGATGACGTAGAAGGCTGTGAGAAGGACTATCACGGGCAATACAAAGGAGACACCCGTGAATTTCATGCTGTAGAGGATCTGAAGGTCGGGTGCCCCATCGCCAAGGACAATCGCTCGATTTCCAATAAAATGCATACACCAGATTCCAATGCCGCCCATGGTTATCGAGGATGTGAGTAGGAGATACCTAGAGTGCAAGGTCAGATAGGGTCTTCTCTTCTTCCAGATATGTAGTCATACCAGTTATACAAACCAGCCCTTGAGGTCCGTCGATGGAGAAGTTCCAACGTGGTAGTGCACCCCATCAAGCTGACTACATAGGACAGAAAGATGTAGCCAGCGAGGTATGTCACCCCGACGTTTGCCGCATATTCGCGGCTGTCTGCATTCGACATTTTGCGAATGAGATGTAAATAAGCGCCTCAGGAATTCGGCAAGGTCATTGAGGGTTATTGTAAAGAGTGTATTGAAAAGAGTGTGTTCAAACGCATCGGTATCTGAAAGAGCCACCAAAACTACAGGGCTGGAAACGAGAGGATGCAAAACAAAGCAAGAGAGAGGAAAAGACTGAAGACCGGGAATTAAGGTTGATACATAAGCAGGACCCGATCGGCCACGCGGAGGGCCTGATAATAATAATAAATAGTGAAAATACTCCAAGGCCCTAAGGATGAACTAAGACTCCAAGCAGCCCCTGGTCGAAGGCTCTCCTCCAAGTTCCAAGGGTATAATATAGCGGCGGCTGATTATTGGAAGAAAAGACGAGGGGAAGGCTAGTCCGTCGCCGTCCGCCTCGGGTGCCGATTGGACTCCTATATACCCTGGTTCAGTTATGTACGTTAATTTATCAGGGCGCGCTTAAGCAGAGACATTCAGTCCGGTTCCACGGGCCACTAAACGGAGCCACGAGGGGTGGAAATCAGTGGAATGAGTCGAGTGAAGTCAGTCCGCTGTGGACAGCCGGGTGAGATTGGATCTACGGAGTATAGATCAGAGATCGTAGTTGGGTACCAGGGAACGATGGGGCAAAAGGCACTGGCAATTCAGATTTCAGTCCAGCCCGACCTGCGGGAAAGGGACCCAGGAGGTATGGATTGGTTGGTCAGAGTCACTTTCGGCTCCTTTTTTTTTTTTTTTTCTTGTCTGGTGGATATCAATCAAAACACATTCTCCGTGTCCAGAAAGATGGGTCTGGGCCGTAAGCATCTGGCGTATCGACGTTGGCAAAAAGGTCTTCTCGAACGCGCTAACTCAAAACCCAGCTGCGCCGCAGCATTCTTGATTAATGGTGTCGCTCTTCTCCGATTCTCCAGTGTTCAGCCGAGGAATGGCAATGAGACTTGCGATCAGATTGAGCGTAAACATTCCCAAACAGGAATGGCTTTCAGAAAAGGTTTTATTAATCCTGAAAAACAATGGGAAGGGTGGGATCCAAAGTGCTGGGAACTCTGCTGGGTCACGGCCACATCGGCGTTATCGGCCGTCGGGCCATACCCATGGTAGGTACGTAATTGTTTGGGATTCATTTAGTTCGATGTTGGAACCGACAGTTGAGAACCAACAAAGTCAATACATGCCTCTCCGCCATCGTCAGGCTGAACAATTGCCGGAATCGACATTGATTGACGGCGTTTCACACAATTCTTTGCCACTTGAAACTCTGGGATGGACTGAAATTAAGTCAGACCGACGGGCAGGCATGTGGTAGAGGGGGAAAGGTTAGCTTGACTCGTTAGTGCAGCTTCCAGTGTTTAGTCGGTTTAGCACCGCAACGCAGGCGAAACTCTACCGGAGGGGTTCGCTGACCAGGCAGGGACCCGGGTGAGTGCGAGAATCAAGCGAGATCATAAGATTCTTGGACCAAAGTGAGACACCGATTAATCAAACCGTCGCGGTGATGGGTGGAGTGACTGGAGTCAACGACAGATAGGCAGACCGCATGGCGAGGCCAATGCGAGGGCAGGAAGGAAGAATTCCGAGGACGTGGGACGTGAAAGTGGGAGGACTGGGACTCTGGTTGAGCACGAGGAAAAACGGAGTTGGCCCCAGTCCGATCGGGATCTCTACTAGCCCCGATCTGGTTAGACCGGTTGGAGGCCCGGTGAACCTCGCTTGTCATTTTTACTTGGAGTCTTTAGTCCGGAGTACTTCCACCTGTTGACTGCGGTATCCTCCGGAGTCCGGCCACCTCGTGTTCCTCCATCGCTACCAGAATTAACTAACCCCAAGCGTTAAGCCTACAGCAAGGTTCCCGTGCCTGCAGAAGCCACCCTGCATCTCATTTGGTGGTATTCCGGTCTCGTTGCTCCTGCTCATGCCTCGGTAGGAGTACCGTGCAGTAAAGGGGATCAAAGGCTCTTCATCCCCGTCCTTAGCTGACCAGGTCTCAGGTCTCAGGAGACATCTCCAGATTCCAGCGAACATCTCCGTGGCTACTTGCATACTACGAAACGACGCAGGATCACTAACGCCAGAGAACCTCTAAGAATAGAAAGGGACCCCAATCAGACCACACCAAGCTCTCCTTCCTGCTGATCGAGACATGACGGATTCAATCCTTGCTATACGGCGTAAACACTCGATCGTCACGCTTCCCCATACTGCGTACTAGGAGAGATAGAGAAGCATCGATAAACAAACACAAGGCTACGGAACAGATCCCTGTCGCCCCCAGCGCCACCTCATTTAATTCAAACCAACGAATGGGACGATACAAATTGATTTAAGATCTCACGTGTGACTGACATGCAAGCCACATACTCTGTAAACATACATAATAGATGAATCAACAAACAAACCACAATGTGCATTGTCATGATTCCCCTTCTCCTTAACCGTAAGGTACAATGAATAGGATATCTAATTCCAGACGGATTTCCTCATGCTAGACGGAGCCACTCAATTGACACCCGGAACGCTCGGTCTCGACTCTCGACTAGTGGCAAATCGTCTGCCAATCCCATCCCGGTCCCTTGGGTCCCGTTAATATCGAATTAATCTAATTGTCGACGTACACCGTCGTGCTCAGCAAGCAGCGTGTTCCAGTTCCGACAGGGGTAGCTCTCCTTCCCCCTAGTACGCCGGGTTTAGAATCCGTAGCATATGGAATTCATGTTCAAGGTGGTCAAAAATCTACTACTATAGTCGAACCTAACTAATAGACTAACTACTCCGTAGGGAGTAAGTCAGCTGGGATATAGATTAATTAATCAATGAACTTCCCGAAAGAGTAAATGTACAGCTACGATTATGCAACATAATCATCGACCATCGAGTTAATATAACCCGATATCTGGGCTCTAGAACTAAACAATCAATATTCAGCACCCCATAGCCACGGCTACGGTTACGGGTAACGGAACACACGGGAAATGGAGAATGGAGAATCAATCAAGATCTACAGACCAGGCTGAGCTGAATTATGGAGTCCAGGATACGTCGCCATTGCGTGTGGGTGTGGACAGTGGAATTCCAAATGAAATCATGATCAAGTCAATTAATCTAATTAAATATTCTATTATATCATCACTGGGCTCGGCGCAAGCGAGGACAAACGGGGCCCTATCATTTGCCAAGTCCAACAGTTCACAAACCGTCTATCAAATCCTTTCGATCGATCCGAGATCTCGTCCCCGAGTCTTCTCCGGCCCGGAGCAATCTAACTGTCTAAGTTAACACTTAACGCGACCAAGACAGGGGACCCAGTCGCGATTTTCGTAAGCACTTGCCACCTTAGCCTCTTAGCAGTCAGTCTAGCGGTATAGTTTCAGTAGATAGGGGGGCGGGCTAACTGATATGGGCAATTATGTAGCATTTTGACTGCTTTGACAGTTGACACACGACGAAACAATTTGACACTAAACTGTAAACGCCGACATGCTCCCCTGGGCCCTGTCAGTTGCGATCAGCAATGCGTGGAGGTGGAGTAGAGAGCGACGATCGGAATATAATTATCAGTCGTTGTAACGTAGTATTCGATTTTGCCCTATGTCCCTTTTCCTTAGATATTAGCTAGATAGGCATGCTCAGGGGATGCAGCAGGGCGCAAAGCCGCACATGCCGGTGCAGCCAGCTGGCCACCTCGGTTATGTTGAGACTATGTACTCCATATTCTGCAGTCACGGTGAATTACTGGATTCTGTTATTATTGCCAGTCATGATAATATTCAGTATTATCTCCTATCAGCTTTATCAGTCGTCTCTATTCATTAAAGTCCAATCTCTGGTAGATTCGTAGTCCAGCCATCAGTAAGGTAATCAACATAAGTCAACGCTCATCACTCTTCATAAGTTCAAGGTCAACAAACCATGCAGGGTGCCCCGAAATATCACCAGAGTCTTCAATAGCAACATTTATAAAAAAGTATCTGAGCACCCGGCTGTAGAGGAGCAAAATCACCAACGCAGTGGCTGGTTCGGTAACATGGTTTAGATGTCCCCGTCTGGTTAATTCACAAAGTCTTGCGATAGTAAGTGACTCCCCATTATCAATATCTGTTAAATGCGATGGTCTCTCACTCACCATTTTCCGCCATCGAACTAGCTTCGCGCCCCAGCCGGCATGAATATGTCCGAAGCAATGCATGCGAGGTCTAGCTCGGGCAACTGCTTCAAAGAGATCTGTAGAGCCCGCGCGTTGAACCGTCTTTGTGGTATCGAGAATCCCTTGGGGCGGACAATGTGTCATCACGATATCGACATCTTGCCCTATAGCAAAGCAATGGCCTTGCTGGACGGCGTACTGGAATCCCCAGTCCCCCCAGCTCCCTAGAGACGGGGTATAAGGGCTGGCATAAACGGTCAGTGAAGCGCTAGTCTCAAGGGTGAAATGATTGGTTCCTTCATGGAGGAAATTAATGCCAAATTCCTGTGCCTCGCTAAAGAGCTCCTCGATTAGACAGGGAGAGCCGTGTTCTCTTTGTATTTCCATAGGATCCACGGACTGCAGGCGCCATGCATCGTTGATCTTTTCCTGGAATACCGGGGCGTCTAGTGTGAAGTCGTGGTTTCCTGCGATGACCATTTTGAGCGTAGCTTGTAGATGTTTGAGGAGGTTGATCGCGGCTCTAAATTCGTTGATTTTAGAGCCGTCGGTTAGGTCGCCGCAGTGGATGGCGACGTCGGCTGGTTAGTGGGAGAGACTTTCGCGTCCGTGGGTGTCTGATATGACGAGAAATCGAGTTTTGATTGTGGGTTTGGATAGGATCTCCATGGCTGTTTGGTTTGATAGATGTTCGTGATGATCTTGCGGTGTATTTCGGACTTTGAGTAATGAGTAGAGGCTTGGATAAGGACGGCAGGGATATGAACTTCGAAACCCTGTCACATAGACGTAAGAGTCCGAAATGAATCAGAGAGACCGAAGATCTGCTAGAAGACTAAATATTACTTATTTTCCCCGTTCAAAAACTCTTCTACAAGATCTATCATGTTAGAAAGTATTATATTTAGTTATCAACTAGGTATCTTTTCTATTAGATAACCTAGAACGGCAGCTGTATACACCTCTTTGGCCGTCTTAAAAACTTTTAAATCATAATAATAAAAAAGCAATCCCTATTAATATTGCAAATATGACTATGTTAGTGACACATGCTTATAACCAAATCAAGACGAATTAGCTACAATATATTTAGGATTTGAAGATAGGATCTGTAGGGCCACAGTTTCTAATCCCAAGGCCACATATAACCATGTCCTTTTCTCCGGAGTACCCCGTACGGTGTATACAGTCTGTGTACATGGCCAATAAATTGACCAGTCTAGTAGCGATTTGCAGTTGCATCGCAGGGTGCAGGGTGCAGTGCCCACCCGACTGCTCCGTATGGGTAATAGGTATGCATGATTGTGGATATGATGGCGCCTCTGTTGTAGCCGAGAGCTAGGGTTCAGCTGCTGATTGATTGCGCTGGAGATTTTTTAATTTAAGCGGTGGGGGGGGGTGGAGGGATGTACTAATATTATAATAATCATGCACATGAGTGTGGCAAATTTTATTATCGCCAGTGAATATTTACACTGCATTAAGTAGACGGAGCTCAAAAACATGCCTGCTGTAGGTAGACTTCGTACTGTTTATAGTTATAGTAGATCAAGGCGAAGGTCTACCTTGTCGTCTGAATCCGTGTACCTTGCATGATGTACATACTAGAGGCCATATAACATTGTGCATTAGATGTATACTTTCTTCTCCATAGTTTGAAATCATTTATTAGTACGGAGTAGACCTTTTACCTCAACTGCGAAAGATGTGGCTGGGCGGGAATTCTTGGCCAGCAGAAATTCCAGCGGCTAGGGGTGAAGGGGTGGTTATTGCTATGAATCTCATGTCTACTTTCGTCAATTGTTATTCACGGCCATCATTCATGCCATGAGATATCGTCTTATAGCATCCACAAACGTCTCGAATACTCTTTGTCTTTCATTATGAGATGACTGTTTTTTTTTTTTCGAGTTATGGCTTTCTCCTCTTATGAAGGTCTCTCTTACCACCGAGTTCTCTGATTCCTAGCCACAGATTAAAAAAGGCACTGCTTCGCCTTGACCAATTCCACCGCGCATTCTCTGCCACCACGTTGAACTCAACGACACAGACTGATAACTCTACACCCCAACATATCTACGAACCTCTCGAGGGCATAGAAAGGCTCGAAAACTACCGACCAGGAGGCTACCACCCTCTTCAAATCAACGACCAATTTCAAGGCCGATATCACATCCTCCACAAGCTCGGCCACGGGTCCTATTCCACAACATGGCTTGCTCGTGATACCTAGTCTAAGAAATATGTCGCCGTGAAAGTCTGTACGGCGGATTCAAATCCACGGGAAGTCGGTATCCTGTCGGATCTTGGTACTACCTCGCCGGGGTGTTGCTATGGCAAAGCCTTAGGCAAATCCATGATCTCTTCGATCTTGGACCAGTTTAGCATTCAAGGTCCAAATGGAACATATATTTGCTATGTCGGGGCTCTAGCAAGAGCCAGTCTCGCGGGGTTAAAAGATGAATCGTGGATTCGTTTGTTTCAACTCGATGTTGCCCGCGTATTAGCCGCGCAACTAGTTCTCGCTGTTGAATATATACACGCCCAAGGATATGTCCATGGGGATCTTCATCTAGGAAATATTCTTCTTGAAATGCCTCCTGGATTCAACCAGCTCTCCATCGAAAGATTATATCAGGAATACGGAGAAAATCCCGTCATTCATTTAGACAACAAACACAAACCGCTTCTACCTAATATACCATCCCATGGCGTTGTTCCTGTATGGCTCGGAAAAGCAAGCGAAGAGATCACTCCCGCAGAAGCGAAACTCCTCACAGACTTCGGCGAAGCGTTTTCCCCTTCGCAGGAATCGAAATATGAATCTCGTACGCCCCTGGTACTCCGTCCTCCTGAGGCTCGATTTGAACCTGAAACGCCCCTCTCTTTCCCATCGGATATCTGGACCCTTGCGTGCTCTATCTGGGCTCTTATCGCTCAAAGACCGTTATTCGAGGGATTTCTGGCTACCCAGGATGATATGACCTGCGAGCATGTTGGTGCTCTGGGTATTTTGCCGCGTGAGTGGTGGGTGAAATGGGATTCACGACATGGTAGGTTTACGGAGGATGGCACGCCCATAGGTAGGAATCCATATCGATCGTGGGATGATCGCTTCGAGGATAGTGTGCAGCAGCTGAGACGAGAGAGTGGGATGTTCCTGTTTGATGAAGAGGAGAGAAATGCGGTTTCTGTGATGTTGCGGAAAATGCTCGCTTTTAGGCCTGAGGATCGGGTCACTGCGAGGCAGGTTCTTGAGGGAGTGGATGGTGAAATGGGCTTTACCTGAGTATTACAACTGTTGACATACACAGAGATGATGATGTTTTGCTCGGTTGGTTTAAGTGGATGTGCGGTGCATAGAACTTTGTCTAGGCTGCGTCCACGCGAGGAGACAAGTACGTACAACGATAGGGAATCAACAGACTTGCGAAATCTCCATTCAGTACATTAGTTGAACTCATGCCTTCACTAAATCTAATATACGCGAGGTTAATTGACCGAATATGTTCAGCGGGAGGCAGGTTTACTTCTAAAGAAGTCCATAGAGTGTGCCTTACAGTGTAGATAGTACTCTTATCGATGAACGGACACTTCCTTACCAACTGTAGCTTTATCGCTATTAATACTTGCTTTCTATAGCGTGGGATCTACTCATCCTTCCATAAGGATCAGCAGATCATAGATTTCAAACTGACTGCGATTTCGTTGCGATAGAAATCAAGTTAGGAATTCGCAATCAAACCAGTCCCTGGTTCCCCATCAGTATAGATACCAGACAAGAAAGTAATAAGGGCGCATTAGGATCGTACTATAATCCCATAATGTGATCTTATCTCATGATTGTATACAATTCCCTACTACTATGAAAGTCTATATCAAGTCATACTATAACTATACCACCTCTTCTCGCCACTGGTCTGATCTGGCCCCACGCTGAAACAAACACGATATGACATGATCTGTTATCTGCATGGTCGATTGGACCCCAGTCCGGACCGGTCTGGTCTGGTCTGGTGATCTGATCTATGATTAGATATTTTAAAATTTTATTGCCGGTGACTAGTAGGCAACTTTAATGGTCATGTCCGGGTGTGGCTGTTCGTTGTCAAATGACATTTTTCACCGGGCTTACTGTAGCGTCTACATTTCTGCACGTCTACAGTGAACAAAAACAAAAAGATATCACAACGACAGTCTTAGCAGTAGCACCGAATCGGTCATGAGATCCAGCTATTAATTGACTGGGAACAAAAAGAAGGTAAAGAAGGTAAAGAAATGAAAAGTCACAATTATGTATAGGTGATATCTTCAATCAACTGATCATTCATTCAGCAAAACACAAGATACGTTATTGATGTTCGATGTATGAAACATTTTCCACCACCCTCGAAACGTGCGTGGATATCCCATTTACGCAATCAGGCTCTTGATACCGGCCTCCAGGGCAGGGGGGTTGGCGCCGACGACGTCAGAGACCTTCTCGCCCTTGTTGAAGAGCATGAAGGTGGGCATGGCGCGGACGCCGAGCTCGGCGGCAACCTCGGAGAGCTGGTCGACGTCGATCTTGTAGAACTTGGCCTGGGGGTAGGCTTCGCTGAACTGGGCGAGCTTGGGGGCGATGGCCTTGCAGGGACCGCACCATTCGGCGAAGCAGTCGAGGACGACGAGATCCTGGGAGTTGAGGACCTTCTCCTTGAACTCGGCCTCACTGGGTTTTGGGTATGAGGTTAGTTATTTGGGTTTGCAGAGGGGGTTGGTTGGTTTGATAATGTGATGTGGAAAGGGGAGTGGGGTGAAAGGGTTCAGATGGGTGAATTGAGGGGGGAGGGGTGAGAGGGACAGGATAAGGATCCTTCAATTGTGAAGACTGGAGAGAGTGATTGAAAAGAGTCAAACGTACGTAGTGATGTCGATAACGTTTCCGCCAGCCATTTTAGCAGATGAGGGTGAGAATCGGACGGTGGGAGTAGAAGAGAAAGATCGTCTAAGAGCGAATTGGTTGGATGCGGAAATGGGAGATCGAGTTGATGCGATTGAAGCTCTGGACAGAGATCTAGCAGAGAAGGAGGAGGAAAGTCGGGATGAATTAAAACTATGGAAAGTCGCGAAAGATGATTAGCTCGAAATGAGGGGCAGTGAAGGAGGGGCACAAATTGGAATTTATAACGAATTGCCGGAATGACGTTGTGTTGCGTTGCCGGGATGAGTAATCCATCCGACCGTGAAGTGCCAACACGGAAAGAATTGGGTTGGACGCAGGGAGGGCTTAGAGGGCTTACCAAGATGCTCGGGTGAGACGGAGCAGGTTAGTGGTGGACTGATTTGTCAATCGGATGGAATGCATCTTTTTTTATCTTGTCTGTCTGTCTGTCTTGGTCTATGTTACAAAGCGGCTGACTGGCGGGAAGAAGAGGCAAGAAGGGTGAGCTGACAGTGGAAGAACCCGAGAGGACACGTTCGGGCGGTGACGGGAAGCTGCTGGCAGCGTAAAAGCGGCGAATAGCGTGCTCCCGCTGCTTATGAAGCAGATCCGGTCTGGATCTCGGCGATTGCTTCGGTGATTGTTCGGTTATTGGTGCCTCAGGCAGCATCACAAATCCAGACCGACAGTCTTCTTTCTCTCTTCCAGCGGATGGCCTGGGCTACCTTACGGAGTAGGTGAGTAGGTACTCATTCAGATCCATTAAGATTATACTACTACAACCAATATGACAGAATCAATGTCCATTGAATTGAAGAAAATGAGAATGCTCCAAGTCTATCGAGAGAATAATTTTCATCCAGAACGCTGGACACCTATCGCCGTGATCGCAATAGGCACTGCAAGCTTCATCCAAACTTCCGCTGATGTGGGGGTATCAACAAACACAAGAACTAACAAAGTCCACCAACACTAAATCCACTAAGCAGGAATATGGGGGGGGGTGCTTAGTTCGCATTGGAGCATTCAAGAAATACAAAGGTGGCATAATCCAGTACCACCGAAGGGGTTCAAAGCCATATAAAAAGGGGGGGGATTTCGGGGAGGGGGGTTCTTCGAACATATGAAAAGAGTGTGACAAAGGAAAGAGATACATCAAAAGAGTGACTGGGGGGAGGGGGGGTATATACTTCAAAACGCATATTAAATATCTAAGATAGAATCGGAGGGGCTCAGAATCTGAAAGGTGGTCGGTGATTGTTCCAGCACATCACAAGAGGATCCCGAAAAAGGGGGCTATTCTTCCGGTAGTCAAAGGCGCAGCCCTGTTCTTAGCACCAGCTCAGCGGTGTTCAGTGACAATGCCCGCTGTCATAGCCGTCATCTTTGGCGAAATGGTACTCGGCAGAATGCTCCTCGATCGGGCTGAATTCCTCGTCCGCATCCGCAATAACAGAGTTGAGGATCCCTTCGTTCGATTTCGGTCGGATCGCGGGGGTGACGAGAACTGGCCGCCGCGCAACATGATCGTGCCAATTCTCCTCTGACGCTGCTGCTGCCTGGACCATGTCGAAATCATGGTCGGCTTCGCTGACCGCGTGGCTGGCTCGGGTTGGATCGTCGTTGTTGGTGCTGAATTTGACCAATTCCTCGCCGTTGTTGGCCACCTCATCTTCTTTCGGTAGTCCTTCGCTCCCTTCATCCAATCTTCTCCTGGATGAGCTCAGGCTGGGACGAACGGGGTTGCTTGTTCTTTGAGAGATACGGCGTAGGAACTTCCCGGACATCCATGATCCTTCGGAATCAATCGATGCCAGCGACTGCGACAAGGGTACATTTTCCGCGTCGCCTTCGATGCTCTCGCCGGTCCAGGAGTTGTGAGGGTTTCCGTTGGCATCCGGTAGGTCCACGTCAGACCCGGGAATCGGGTATCGCGAAACCATGTGTCCGGCGGACGGTTCATGTTCATCCTCGAGCTCTTCGGGGATGTCCGGGGACTGAAGGCGAGAGTCAGGAGGCGAGAGCGGCTCATCTCCAAAATGTTCGGTGAACTTGGACTGAGAGCGCTTGATCGTACCCGAATGCAGGAACGTCTTGGGAGGCACGTAGGGTGGCGGTCCAGATGACTGGGTGGACACCTTGAAAAAAGATTCGTGGGAGGTGTTGTTGGAAATTTCTGATCGCTGATCGTGGAATCGTTCACGGTATCTTCGCTTAAGACGCGAACTGCCCCGTCGGAAAATCGACGATATCGTGTTCATCCGACCATTGCCGTGGTCGGACAGGCGTCGCTCCGAGTCGACAGTTCGTGATAAATCCGAGGTGGATTCTCGGCCCATGCCATTGACCTGGGAAGATGAAGGACTATGCAAGGTACTTCGCGACATAGCCATCTCCTGAGACGGAGCAAAGCTGCGACGCATGCCCAACTTCGGTTCCCGGATAGAGCTGTCGTCAATATTGCCGATGACACTGACACTTTCGGTGGATTCACGGATTTTGCGGTGGGCATCCTTGGAAGCATCTCGCAACCATGAGCCGGCAGGGTCGCCAGACTGGATGGTTGTCATCTCGTTGGCTTTGGACGCATCATCTCTGCCCGCACGATCGGTTTCAGCGTGGTTCTCGGCACCTGGCCGGCCTCGCTGGATTTGGGCACTGTCCTCCTTTCCGTCCTGGTGGGCACGAGCCGCAGATTCACGCTCCGCTTCCAATCTTTGCCGCTCAGCGGTCCGTTGGAGTCTACGTTGCAGTTTCTCCTGGTCTTCGATCTGTTTTCGCTCCTTTCGTCGACGATCTCTTTCCAACAGCTCCCTCAAGGCGCCCGCATCGAGATCATCGGCCAGTCTATCCACTCGTTTCTTCGAGTAGGCATTTTCCTCCGAAACTGAGACGGCGGGGGTCTTTTCCTTCCGGGTCGACCCCTCGGATGTTTTTTGGCTCTTGGCGGTCGGAACTCGAGGGGCTTCGACGTATCGGATAACGGGACGCGGGGTCCAAGCACTGAGCCCGTTAACTTTGAAGGTGTAAGAGTCCGCGCAATCGGAGAGCGAGGACGCGGAGTCACGAAGGGAGAGACTGAGATCGGATTGGTGTCGATCGGATCGTCGACTATGATTCCTCGGAGGTCGGCGGGTGTCGACCGAGAGGTTGTCTCCGGACTGGTATGAACGGTGGGGAATGTCAATCGGCGAGGAAGCCATCAGACGAATTTCTCGCTCTCTGGCGATTTCGTAGGCCTTTCGCTTGCTTAATTTCTTTTTCAGGACCGAGGGGCCATTCTCGGGACGTTTCGATTTCACCAGCGCTATTGAGGGGTGGTCCTGACCGACGGTCGAGCGAGGGGCATGACCATCGTGACGGTAGCCTGTCCGGGAGGCCTGATCCCGTGCGTCTCTCATCGAGATAGCCTGCTCGTTGTCTGGCGTAGGTGCAGGGAGGCGATGAGGCTGAGAAGGGGGCGAAGTCTCACTCAAGGAAGTCGAGAGGTCGCCCACCGGGTTAGAGTGTCGGTTTTTTTGCCGCTTCGATTGCTTGCGTGAAGGTTTGGTATCCAAGCTATGACGTTGTTCCTGCGACAAGCGGGCTTCTTCGACAGCGCCATTATCCAACTGGATTGTATGTCGCTTGCTTTTCCGACCAAATGGCCATATCGCCATGACGTCCGCTCACATACACCGGCGCTAAAAAGTCAAAGGTGAAGAGAGCTGAATTCGGATGTGAAGGGGGCGCGGATGACTGAAGTCATGGGTGGGAGGAACAGATTAAAAAAAGACGAAGTGGCGCGGGCACGAGACCGGGTGAAGTAAACGGATCCCGAGTTCAAGCTTTCCTTTGAGCAAGAAAATCGAAAAGAAATCCTCAGCAAGCTAGCAATCAGAGCAAGCCGGCGAGCTAAGAAGGATTAATAGAAGATAGGAGTCGGGTAAAGGTGCTCGAGGGTGGAAGTCGAGACCTGGTAAGGCGATAGTGTGAGAAGCTAGGTAGAAGGCAAAATAAAAACAAGATTTTTTTTTGAAAAAATCAACGGTAAGAGGGAATAGCGTTTGGAGTACGGAGGGAAGTAGTAAGGATCTCCAGGTGCTGAGAGGGACCGGGGCAGAGGGACTATTGGTTTAGAACGAACGGATGGAAGAAGTAGTTTGGGAGGACTATCAAGTTGGTGGTGAGACTCCAAGCCACACACCACATGGAGTGGCAAACCAACAGAGTTCCGGTAGGTAGATGGATTATAACCCCGGATGCCCAAAATATTAAACGAAAGGAACCCCAAGGGGGGGGAGAAAGCGAAAAGGAAGGAAAGGAGAAAAACGAGGAGAGGAGAAAGGATGAAAAAAGAGAAGAGAAGGAAAAGAAAAAAGGGAAAAGAGAAAGGGAAAAAAGAAGTGAGCCCGACAAAACAGACCCAAACCCCCAATACCCAAAGGAGTCAAGTCAGAAGGAGGCCGTGAGCGAGGGACTGGCCTGGTGAACTAGAATTATTAGTCCACTAAGGAGGGACTGCGAGGGCCGAGACAAACAAACCGCCCTTTTTTTTTTTTTTTCGGGGTCACTCAACCAGGGGATCTGCTCTGCTGGTTACACCGTGACAGCCCCCGGGCCCGGCCGTCAACCACTGGGAATTTCTCTGTTTTGATTTACCGAGTCGATTCGGATTTTGAATTGGTTTTGGTCTTCTGCCTCTCTGGTGTTGGTCGTTGGGTCACATGGGGTTATAGCGGTACTGTACCTTAGTTCAAGTTACCTACCTATGAGTCTGTGACGAGTATGTACTCCGTAAAGGCGTAGTGTCTCTCAAAACGGTCCCAATCGGTTGATATGCATCTTCCCGCTTTCTGTCTCTTTTGGGAGGAACAAATATAAAATAAAATATATTAAATCTACGCAATTTACGCCGTACCTTCGAGATCCAGGTCCTCTACGGGATGTAAATGAACATAACCATCATCAACAGTTCTAATCTACTCCGTACAGAATTAAAGACCTACTTACATGAAAAATAAAAATGAAATAAAATCGAATTAAAAATATGGAAAAATCTTCAATGGTGGGGGAAAGGGAAAAGTCGCCCACCGACTGCCAGATTGAAGCCCAATCCCATTGTTACCGCCGACTGGGACCAGCCATTATTGGTACCTGCCTTAGGGGACCGCCGATAGGTGTAATCGCCGTGACTATCGACGGTGCCGCGCTCCACTCCGCCATCTTTAGAAACATCGCGCGGTGGGCAACTTTGCGCCGGTCTTTCCGTCTTACCGTTTGGTACCGCTAGCTCACGGGGCAGCTCCACTTGGTGTGGGATATTGTGTATGTGTATTACGGTTGTATACTCCGTACTGGTGTTCTTGGCACGGCCTCGATAGGAAAACTATTATGGTCGACTATCTACTCCGTACGGTGTAGTATCTACTAGAGTCGGTGCATCGAGCACATTCTGCCCTCGTTCTGGAGAACCATCGCCAGATAGTGGTAGTATCTGCATTGTACTCACTACCCAGTGCATCGCCTCGAAAACGGTCAAGATCAACCGACCAACTGCCAAGATTCCCTCTCTCGTCAGCCCGACAGCGACGGACTCTTCGGTAGCCAGAAAAGCAAGCAAGCTGCTTGGCCGGTAGTCGGTACATACCTACGAGCGCATGTACTATACTACATCGCATCAGGGTGCTAGAAGAGTCATGACCGTACTCCGGAGTAAAACCATCAATTTCAATCTGTCTGCAGCAAGCCTCGTCTATCCCAGAACTCCATGAGTTACAGTCGTTCCTTTCCCCTCCGCAATGCAATCCCATTTAGAATTCTCCTGCAGGGGCCGCCCGAGCCATACGGCCCTGGGCACTCTCGCAGCATCTCTCGCCGACCCGGTTGCGATAGCCTATGGGTGCCCTGGCTCTCCGGGCCCATGCTACTACTGCATATGCTGAACATCATCTCTCGGCGGCCATGATCTCATCGGAAAACGATCACAACCAGCGTCTTCGATCTGGTCGGTACGACTGTGTATATACTGTGTATGTGTGTACGAGCCCGTAATGCAGGATACAAGGCCGGGTAATCGTGAAGGTACTGCCCCAGAGCCCGGGCGGAGACAGTCCCAGACTCTTTCTCAGGCACGAAAAAAGATGACGATGGGTGATGATGTCAGTGGATCTCTGCAGGATTCAGCGTGATTGGGTAGTGGATATGAGGAATTGACTGACGGGCAAATCATGAGCAGAAGGAATGTTTCTGGTGGGGGGGACCTTGGAAAGGTCTGAAGCCTTGGATCCATTATCCGTAACGCTAAATCTTAGCGTCGCTTACGCTGGGACGGCAGGGCAGACACTGGACAGACACTAGACAGGCACAAGCAACATTAACAATTCCTTTGCAATCAACGACAATGACGAACACCGGAGGAGATCTTTCCTAGATTGAGGTTGATTTAACATCTGCCTGAGAGGCTGAGATTTTTTAGATACGTTGAATGAACAGGTCCCATGGCAAGATTGACCACGGTCAAATGTGCTGAGTGTTATCTGTGACACCCATCCCATCCATCCCTTTCTCAAGGAACAAATCGGAAATCCCATGCGTCCAGCAGCACTCCAGCTCCTCCTCCCGTCCTCGCCCATATCACGCTTTCCTGACAGCAATTGACAGGTCCAATGCGCATGGACCAGACGGTGCAGAATCCTGCGCCTATCGATGACATCGTAACGGTCGAATCTCCATACACAGGTATTCGTCCAGGCCGGGTGGGTCTTTGTTTTGATCAACTAAATCCTGAGGACCCAAGGTTCAGAACGCCGAAGGGGAGAGACACTCAGACATTCAGACACTTGCTTCGAGGCCTTCACTGCTTTCTCGGGCTGGTTTTCAGCGCCAAACCCCGTCGATCCTCCCTAGGGCCCCAGGGCATGATATCCCTGGGTAATAATGTGTCAGTCTACGTCGGTCTGGATGTTCATCGAACACTCCCGGGTGGAGTTTGGACTCGGAAGAAATTTTTCTTTTGTCTTTTTTTCCCTCTTGTTTTTTTTTTTTTTTTTTTTGTGATTTCCACCATCGGTCTTAGTAATTGTTAATTAAACAGTCAACGCCTGGTTTCTCCTCTCTCCCCCCCTCGACAAGAAGTAGCGTGCCTCCACAGGCCCAGTCCGGGACTGAATTCCCGCGTCTCTTCTTCGTTAAACCCACCCGCGGGAGGGGTCATTATTTCCTTCCTTGCAGATTTCATCATATTGAGTGGACTCCGATTGTAGTAGGTATGCTAGAGTACGGAGTACGGAGTACTGTATGTTGATTGTTGAATGTTGACAAAGGAGGAGCAAAGAGAGAGGGGTGGAGGCCCGTTTTCCAGAAATACATACCGAAACAAAGCCCGCCCAGCGCCATGGGACAATTTACCCGAGTTGTCAGTCCGAACCACACTTCTTTAGACTCTATCTTTGGCGTGTTGTCGAGCCCCAGATCTCCAGCAGACTACGTACTACAGATTCAGGTACATACTTTTGGCGTCCGTAGATGGGCCTCTGGGTTCCAATTTCCGACATCACCGCCGACGCTGGGATCTCTTCTCTCGTATCCCGTCAAGCTAGGCCCTCGAGATTAATGTCTCTCGTTGTGCATGTGCGGTACGATGAATGAATGTCCACCTGTACTGCGCATTCCTATTCCAACAGGGACAGAAGAGAGGGGGGTCCAGTCAACGACGATTCCGGTGAATACGGGAGGGCGCACTGTTGAGTAACCCGGGCGGATTGTAGTGCCGAAACTCATTCAATTTGAGTACTAACCAAGGGCCCCTTCGGCGATAATCAGTGGATCTTTCTGTTCCTGCATCTAATTTACTACACTGATCCGACCAGATCTCAATCTCGTGAGGGGATGGAGTTGGACGGATGGTTTTATGAAAGTGAAACATCAGACAGTCGTGGAGGGGAACAGGAGCATGTTAATGGTGGCTGTGGTTGTCCTTGCATGGACGAAGCAGGTACATCCTGATTCCTAAGTCCCAGTCCCTGGGTAGGTAGGTACATACCTGTTCCCTTCAAACGGGTTCCTCTCCGGGAGAGATTCGGCCGCCGCGTTCATGAGATCTCGGACACAACGTCGGGCGCTTGTGGCGAGTATGTACAGTAACTCCGTAAGGATGGATCGAGGGGAAATTGGTCCAAACGTGATATTCCATCCCGAGAGGAGGGGAAGTTGCACATTCTCATCTCAGACATCCGCACAGCGAGATCCTTCATGCACGTAATCTCTCTCAAGCAGATTAGAGCGACGGACACTGTATTATTGACATTGTATGCCGTATGGTCGAACCGACCTTTCCTTTTTTAGATTCTTTTCTACAGATACATCTGTCTCCTCCGTAAGACATGGTACCCTGCGATCATCGCTGCTGATAGGCGGTTTAATTTCTTTTGATCAGAGTCGATCCAAGCCGGTGGGTCCAATGTCAGCGGGCGTTACGACCTTGTATCCTCAATAATACATTCCCTGGATTTGCCGTAACCAAAAGCAGGTACATACAAACTTGGTCCCTGGACTTGTCAGAACCATAGACTTAAGGCTAAGAGAGCCGACCAAGTTTATTAAATTAAGATTAGAATTAGTTAGAGATTTTCTTCGGAGAAAGACTCCTATCTTACTACGATCGGAATCAATCGATACG